TGTCGATAGGTAGCGCCTTATGGAAGTTTCCGGTTTTGGAGCACCCATGCCATAAAGCGGTTAGCTAGCTAACCGCTTAAAAAAGGTTTGGAGTTCGAACCTAACCCCCCCCCCCCCCCCCCCCCCCACGTAATTGGATTTTCGTGTTAAACCAATGCACATTTCTTTTTTTTTCCTTGCTTGTCAGGTCTTTGTGAAGGTTTAAAAATTCCTTTTACCTACCCCCCCCCCCCACTTTCAATTTGCTTCCAACGCCAATGTTTTGAGCAGATTTGTACCGTACTAATTTTGCATTAAACTGTCAATACATGTACATGTTCAATGCAACTTTTGCAGGAAAAATTTATTAACATTGTAAAAGTTTGTTACTTGTTTACATGTAATAAATTACGTGTTCTTGGTAGCAAATTTTCATAATTTGAAACGCATATACATATTCATTTAATTGCGATTCAACAGAGGGAAACACAATTATTATTTTCCAAGGTAGATGATAAATCGTGAAATGTTGGTAGTAAAGTCTTTGTCGGGGAAATAATTACTACAGGTTAAATAATCCTTAATACTAAAGGTTAAAATAAAATCATTAAAAAGAAAGTCTTTAACCTCTAAAACGTTTAATTTATACTCTCATACTGCACTGATGTTTTAAAAAGGGCTGAATGTGATGAGCACCGGAGACCTTACTACTTGTACATGCAACAGCCTGATTCAGCGATTTTATACATGACCGAAATTATGTTGTTTTTCAGGAATCCAGAACTCCAGAATCTTCGTTAGTACATGTAGATAAACCATGCACAAAATAATATTATTGCTTCAAGAAATTCATTATATTTGGAAACAGGCTGGGAACCACTGGAATATAGAAGAAATAGGGCAAAACTAATAACAATGTATAAAATGCACAATAATTTAGTCCCTATTTACTTGCAAAACTTAGTACCTGATACAAGAGGCAATATTTCAGGATATACTACCCGGAATTCTTTAAATTATTCTTTGCCAAAATATAGATTAGAACTCTACAATAAATCATTTATTCCCGATACCGTTAGAAAGTGGAATTCCCTTAGTCTAAAAACAAGAGAGGCAACTTCTATTAAAATTTTCAAAAACTATCTTCAAAATAGTAATGTTAAACCTCAGAAATATTTTTCTTATGGAAAAAGGTTTTTGAACATAACTCATACAAGATTAAGACACAATTGTATTTTAAAGTCTGATTTATATCGCTGTAACCTAATTACCAGTCCTAATTGTTCTTGTGGACTACTAGAAGATACATATCATCTGTTTTTTGTTTGTAAACATTATGTAAAAGCAAGAAATTCCTTAATGAATAAGCTATTGTCATTAAATTATTTACATATTATAGATGTACATTTAATACTTTGGGGCGATGATTCTTTAACTTTCGAACAAAATGCTGAACTTTTTAAGACTATTCAAACTTTCTTAAATGAATGTGGTCGTTTTTCAAAATAAGTTTTTTCTCAACATCTCAAATTATTTTTGTATATTTAAAGAATTTATTCCTGTTTATTGCTACAATGTATACAATGTATATAGTAGACCATATGTATATATGTTTGTTTAACTTTGGCAATTTTACAAAATGTTATATTAGGAGAGGACTATCTAAGTTACAGAACTTGTGTCCGATCCTTTTGACTTTGTCAATAAAATATGTTCAATTCAAAATTCAATTCACAAAATAATAATAGTTTGGAATAGGTTTGAAAGTTTTAAAAGTGTTCAAACAATTTGTATGAATTTGTAACAATGTGTATTAATTATAACATTTTAGTGATGTATCATGTTTGCCATTTTTACATTCGGTGTATTATGTATAAACTCATCAAAAAGATTATGGAAAGGTCGATAAACATAAATATGTTCAATCTGTTTAATTCTCAATCATGAAATATTTTAGACAGTGGGACCTTAACTTACAATGTTTGCGAGCATCCGTAAATTCAAGACGAAATTAGCACGAAGTATCCAAAGAAATAAAGCAGACACGCGACACAGAAGAAAGGGGGGATTTTTTCTACATTTTTTGTACAGCATGAGAAGGTGTTCAACAATAAAATAAATTGAGAAGCTCAAAAGGTCTTTCTTCAAAATATTCATTTTAAATCGACAGCTAAAACTAATTCCGGAAGAAGTGTCCAAATCAAATACTCTGTGTCGTATCTATAGAGAATACTTTAAAAAAAAAAACTAAAATTAACTATTTATCAAAAACAGTTCTAGCTGCAGTTCTGTAGCTCTCCGAAAAAATATACTGAAAAAAACGGAGAGCTACAGAGCCACACTGTAAAAAATGTGTTTAGATGATAGACACTTTCCTAAGCACTTTCTTGTCACACTTTTTTTGATGCGTTGAAATTCTAAACACATTTAATTTCATTACGTGTAACGGAAAGTGTTTAGACCCTAAACACTTACATGTTTAGACTTTAAACACGTTACAAAACATGTTATGATACATGTTTACAAATTAAACACTTGGATGTTTCGTTGTCTTCCTGCAAGAAAACTGAAAAAATAACAATTGTTTACATTTTAAATTTTATTCAATGAACATTCAAACATGGATTTTTAATAAAGAATTTTAAATCAAATATACATTATATTTTTACACGCTGGTTTTAATTCTAACCAGATTAGCAAGCAGTTATTCCTCGTGTATGTTTCAAGTTTAACTTCCGGCAATTTTTCACTGAGCAACACACGCATAATTTGTTTTCATCTGTGACCGTCAGTAGGTAATCCACTGTCATTATTTGAGAATATTTTTAGGTTGTTCAAAGCTATAACGAACAGCAGACTTCACAAAACTCAGTTTCCCCTAGAGAGTAAGAAGTGTTGAAAAATGTAAGAACGATGGCATGCCATTGTGGACTTGGAGATGGCAACAGTTTCTCTGATACGTGTATTTTTGCTTTCAAGTTCGATGTGGACCATATCCTGTAAGAAAAAAATTCAATTTTATTAAAATATGCTTTTCACTGGCTGGATTTGTATGAACTTTTTTTTTTTTTTTTTTACATGCTTGATAGCTATTATTGTGCTACTTTTATTGAACCTCGTCTATATAACCACTATTAAGTATTGATACTGTTGTAGATATTATTGATATTCTATATAATGTACTCTTTTCTAGATTTCAGGAATACAAAATATAACCGAAGGTAATCTTAATCTACAGCTACATGTGCAAACGCATGTCTATTTACGTAGCCCATCATGGTCAATTTATGTAAAATAAAAATAATAGTTAACATACCTTTTATCGCAGTAATGTTGCAGTTTAAATGCATTTCACAATCTCTTCATGGTTATCACTTTGATTAGCATTCACTTCCTTTAATCCATCTTCTTTAGCTAACATTGGGATTTCCTTTGTTTCGATAACCGCTCTATTTATCATTCGAATATATATGCGTCATTTCCGGGAAGATAACTCTGCACTTCACATAAAAGTGTTCAATTTCTAAACAGTTATATCTAAACATGTGTTAAATCTTAACATCATTTAGATATAACACACGTTTAGACCTAAGTGTTTAGCCGTTAAACACAATCTAACACATGTTTAGACCTAAGTGTTTAGCCGTTAAACACAATCTTATACATGTTTAGGTCAAAACACGTAATGGAAGTGTTTATTTTCTAAGCGCATTTTTTACAGTGCACCCATTGCAAAAACTGTATATTTGTTGCGCACAAAAAAGTGCGCTCGGTTCTCGATATATTTCTCCATGTTTTTAAAACCGTGATCTCAAAATATTACTCACCCTATGTTCCTAACATATTCTTTCGCTGTTTCCACAACCATACATTCCTCGTAATTGTTGTTAATAGTCCTCCTGACCCTGATATTGTAATCATAAAACAGTTCGTTTATTTATACAGCCATTTTGGTTTCAAAGATAATTCTGTCCAATATGCTTCGTTCAGATGTCAACTTTAAAATCTTCCTTTAATTGCAATTGAGGTAAGAATTTGGAAGAAGTTATCAGAACCGAGCGCACTTTTTTGTGCGCAATAAATATACAGTTTTTTCAACGGGTGGCACTGTAGCTCTCCGGTCTATCAATATATTTTTCGGAGAGCAACAGATCTGCAGCTATAACAGTTCACGTTTTATTTATATAAACGGCAACTTTAACTGTTCCAACCCAGTTTACACCGTTTACATTGGGTTAAATTCAACCATAAGTAAAAGAGAAGTAATTCAGGTCAATTTTCATGCATCGCTATTTAAATAAAAATACCTTAGTTTAATGCTCCTGTTAAATTGCATGTGCATTACGATGAAACAGCTGGACATTAAACTAAAAAAAAACTATCTTTAAAAGCTTGTTTGTTTGACCTTTTTAAATGAACCGACTAAAATCTTTTTAAAACTTCCAAATTATTCTTTCCGGGATTTTCTCACCCTATCAACAACTTTAATGCCTTCAATCTTTTTCAACACTGAAAATTTCCGACAAAAAAAAATTCGACCTACCTAACAATGTAATTTTTTAACCCGAATAGGGAGAAGGCAAACAAACTTCATTTTAAAAACGGCCTTACGGGAATTTTTCAGCCACCACTGGAAATCTTTAAAAAATACACACTTAATTGTGAAAAGGAGATATCACACAGCCACTTGACGGAGAATAAAGTTTTAATAAATAAACTTCATCAAATTACACCCAAGAATGTCTTAGTGTATAAATAAAACAACATCACCCTGTTCTATTGCGGATAGTTTCTCTTAAGGAGACGTTTTTACGTTGCATTTACCTTGTTGACTTTAGACGCGTCTTTTGACGTTACGTCATAATAGCCATAAGGGAGGTTTTTGCTTGGCGCGTCACATACATAAGTATATTATATCTGTTTTTATCTAGTGCTACATCAAAATGCACATAACCAATCACTGAAAAAATTACACGAAAACGATTTGATGAGTTTGGGAGATTAATAACAGAGATAAACTCTGTGTAAGCAAATTATTTGCATCTAACACCAGCATCCCTGTATCGACGACAATTAGTTTTCCGGATGCCGGGGTATGAACAATCAAAGATGGAAGATTCTCTTCCTCTACATCGTATCCTCCTTATCCACGCAGTTCCAGACCCTTGTCCAAAGTAGGCACTTTTCTGAGCCGTATAATCTCTGTGAAATAAACAAGATCTTATATACACAGTGAAAAATATATTATCTGACATGTACTCGTAGATTTGTGTCGGATTAGACAGGGTGTCGAATATCCCAGTGTTAAGAACACTTAAAATAGTAAAGTGAAACAGATTACTCAGGTTGGACAGTTTTCTTTGTAGCTTTACAATATGTCGTTTAATATGCGTTTATTTTGACACTGCACTAAATCTTAAAAAAGAATGAGTAAAAATTTACCCTGAATAACCCAGACTTCTACATAAAACTAGGGCTTCGTTATCATCCCATCCATAATCACACACAGTACCCCACGTCCCGTAGATAAACACCTCTACACGACCCTCGTTGCTTGAAGTTCCATTCACAAGTCTTATCATTTCTGTGCATAGAAATCTCATTATTACAGGTAAACGAACTAATTACATTGAATTTTTGTGTTTTTGAAATATGGGAGAAAATGTGAGAAAGCAACACCAACTCACAGGTATTTTTAGTCCGTGCTCATGATCAGTAACGTGTGTTACAAATTGAACACACGTGAAACATTCAGAGTTCAGCAAATTGAAGACATCAGTGAAACGTAAACTATTTTTGATAAAAGGGTTAAGTTATTGTCACAAAATTCACTGGTTGAGTTCAATTTGTTTTGAAAAGTCTGCACACATCACTGAGCACAGACTGACAATACTGATGAGTTGGTTTTGCTTTCTCAAATTTCTGTTCAGAAATTTCTGGATTATAGTGTTAGTATTTTGATATTTTTCATGAATTTGCCATTATTTGAGGCATATTCTATAATACATGTATTTTTTCAAGACTTTTGCTGTGTATCTGCTCATCCAGTACCAGTATAAATGTTGTCAGTATTCTCATTTTAAGGGGTTTATAAGGATATAAAGTATAAAAAGACATAAAGATATAAAGACATAAAGTTTATAAGGATAAGGTTTATGAGGATTTATGTTAAACGATTAATATTGTACATATTGCGTTATGTAGGTCGTGGCCACAATCACCAACTCAAAAATAAATAATTTTAAGAAGTTAAATTAATCTTTTAATTAGAAACAATTGAGTAATTACACAGCTCTCACATCTTGGCTCGTACGTACATGAATACCCAGTTTGGCGATAGCATGGTAAGAGAGAGAGAGAGAGAGAGAGAGAGAGAGAGAAGAAAGAGACGGGCCATAATGTTAAACCAAAAAAAAAAAAAAAAACAACAAAAAACGAGAAAAAAATCGATCCAGAGAGTCCTTATAAACTCAGCTAGATTAATTTCGTTATGCCCATTTTTTTGCAGACATTTTCTTTCAAAAATGATTTTTAGGAAATTTAATGTTCAATTTCACATTTATTTTAATTTTCGACCAACCGATTACATTTTTTGCTTCAAAAACCACTGGGCCAAAAAAAGTTGAAACGTATATGGAAGCATCCTTCGGTTGTGTAAATTCTAAGTTGTTCAAATCATGACCCCCGGGGGTAGGGCGGTGCCACAATAGGGAATCCAAGTTTAACACAGAAATATATAAGGAAAAAACTTTAAAAATCTTCTTCTCAAGAAACACTGGGCCAGAAAAGCTGAAACTTATGTGGAAGCATCCTTGGGTAGTGTAGATTCTAAATTATTCGAATCATGGCCCTTTAGGATTGCCAAGGGCAAGATAGGGTATTGCAATGGGGAAATCTGTTAAATGACAGAATGACCAAAGTTACTCAGGTGAACGATGTGGCCCATTGACCTATTGTCTGTATTGTCATAGGTAGACATATTTTGGAAAGTCAAGCAGTTTCGGGCAGCAAACAATTTAAACATATTGTTATTTTTCATTTTCAAAAACATTAATAAAAACGTTTATTCCAGAAATGTTTGTCAGATTTTTTTTTTGTATCTGTAGGTAGTTTTTTAAGCAACCATAGATTAATTAAATATGTCAGGACAAGTCTGAATGATTAAAACAATAAAAAAGCACATAGATCTAAACAAAAACATCCCTTAAATGTCTCTAATGGTTGCACATTTATTTTTGAATTTTATTTGTTAAAATCAATAAATTCATTAGAAAAATTGAATTTGAATAATCAGCTTAATTTTAAATATAGCATAATAGAGATGCAATGTCTAAACAACAAACCATTTATTTTGTGGTAGCAATGGACTCCTGCCTCCTGACCACTGCTACATCTATCAAATCTAGATACTCCACAATTTAACAAAGAGCTTTCATATCTACTGAAGCAATCCATAGGAGGTAAAAGCCACAACAGATTCTTCCTATCGTTAGAAGACGATAATGATACAGGGACTCCTCTACAAATACGATATAAATGAAAATGTTTAAGGAAATAAATAATAAAAATATTCACCTATTAAAGAAATATTTTATTGTATTTAGTATAGGTTACTTTTAAGCTCACTAGAAATTTTACTTGTCTATCATCATCATTAAACGTGACAGATTTGATATAACTAGCAGAACAGAAAATCAGACTTGAATTCATGTCTTTTAAATGAAATATATAGAGATAATAATCAGTATTCAGGCTCAAAATTCCATTAATCAATATATATAAGTAATAGAGCAAAGATAATATCAGAGGTGGGATCAGATCCACTAGAGTAGTAAGCATCCCCTTTTGACTAGTCGCAAACGTCTTTTTCTCCATGTCAATATCAGGTTAACGGAAAAATCCGTAGAAATGAAATGTTAGCATAAATATACGGCAGGACTTGTTATTTACAATTATATTCCAAATTACCCTGAGTACCCGAGACTCCTACATGCCACAATTGCGTTTTTTTCCTCTGATCCTCCTTCACATATACGTCGCCATTGGTTGTTCACCAAAACCTCGACTTTACCCTCATTGGGTGAGATACCATCGGCAAGCCTTACTGTACCTGTATTTTATATAAAATCAAAATATAATTTATAAAATAATAAACTAAATGATAGCTTAAATCTCAACTACTCACCATTAAATGTGTCGTAGCAAAGGGCACCCGCTCTTTTACCAGTATTGCAGGTTTTAGATGCTTCCGAAGAGCATTCTGACAGAGATTCCTCATTTCCTTTACAGTCCATTTTAGAAAAAAACCACATTTCTTCCTTCCTTTCGTATGAAGTCGGGACTGATACAGGGATACCCCTGAAAAGCGAAATAAAGATAAAGAACAGTAATTAGAATTAAAGTCATTAAAAAAATCAGGAGCCGTGCAAACAACTCCTCTGAATTCGAAACACCAGAAGCCGGATCAAGGAAGACTGACTCTAGAGTAGGATTTCACCCACGGAAACCCTTCACCAGCGTTAATTTTCCGGGGGGTGGGGGGGTTCTACTTCGTGAAGTAGTTATAGAGTGCGAATTCCCCAAGTGTAAATTTTCCCCCAATAAGATAAAATTCTTTATTTTTTGATTAAGGGAAGGGTGGCACATTGTTGCAAGTGTCCCTTCTTTAAAATGATGATGTATAAAACTTACCTGTACAAAGAATGAATCTGAATTTCTAAATCTCATTTTTCTCAACAATTCGAAAAAAACAAAAAAAACAATGTTACACTCGACTACATGTAATATATAATATATTATACTGTATTTTCGAGAAAAAAAAAATACAATGAACGTTAAGCATATGAATTCTGCACCTATTATATTTTTTGTTGTAATATCACCCATCTTTAAGCAGTGTTGACTCTTGCTACGCTTGGGGGCGGGGCTTCCTTATTCAGCGGATAAATTTTTTTTTCAAACAAATGATTCAATCAGATTCCATTAAATAACATTAAAGTTATACTATTGTTTTTTTAAATAGCCGCTTAATATAATTGATGTGAGATTTTAGACTTTTGAAGTATATAGCTGTATAATAGGAACTAATTCATAAAGGGATAACAATAGGAGATATCAAAAAACTCTATTCGTTATAACTTACTAGAAAATTATATCCTTATCTCTAAGATAAATAGGAAGATAACTGAATTGTTATTAAATAATTAATTTGTTTTGAGGATCGAGTCACCTTCGTAAAGCAGCGGTTAGAGCATCTTTAAAGTAAGTAGATGATTTTACTTCGCAGTTTTGAATTCATCTGTGGGACGTGGAGTCTGGTCCTTCGGATGAAAACGTATAAATCGAGGACCAGTGTCTCAGTAGGTGCTAGCACGAAAAAGATATCCCTCACTGTTCGATGGCCCTGAGTGTCGTGTATAGGAAAAACTTGCAGCTTTCCAAATACAAATGGTGGCGTCTCCATATGAGTGAAACATTCTCGATAAACAATTATTGTACAATCCTTGTACGGGGGCATTACAAGGGCAGACGAGACGTTCCTCAGTAATATATAATTTTTTTCAAGATTTTGTCATTGAAAAATTAATACTTTAACATGTTTACTCACAAAAAATTGAGATACCTTAACAGGCATTTATGTGAGATACCACAGGGTGGCATTTCCTATATTATCCTTAAGGGAAAAATGTAGTTTGTTAAAATCACATTTTTAGTGTTTCAAATTTTTAAAATCAGTTAGAAACCGGTTTAAAAATCAGAAAGTAATGAAAATTTTGTATATATTTTATATATTATGAAGATATACAGAAATTTGGGGAATATATCGTCTGACCTTAATAAAAGAAATTAAGTGTTTTACGTAAATTATTGAGTTTGATATCATTTTAAAGAAAATTTTAATTTGCAAAGAGGTAGAGTAGGACTATGGCACTGTTTATCAGCAATTCCATTGTCCATTGTATGGCTTGTTTACTAGCACGGTTTATGTCCAGTTATACTATCATCGACATCCATTTAAGGTATTATGCAAGGAAATAGCCAATAAAAATGAACTTAGTCAAATGAAGTTCTATATACATAGAGAAAACTTCTTTTTCTTTTTTCATTTTCGGCAACTTTTTTTTAGGTCTACAATTTTAATTTTGGACTCATGTACTAGGGATATCATATCTTTAGCAGAATTGTGCCACTGAATTAAAGGGAACTCTTTTTTAGGTGCGCATGATGCAACTTCCTGGATGGTGCGTAGGTTGTTTGTCAACATCTGAAACTCACGTGTATTTCCGGGTAGGTATGTTTACTCTCAAGCTTGCCTATCTGAGATTTTTACACATAAACTGCATCTGATATCAGTGTATAAAATATATAAATTTGGTAGATAGGCAAGCTCTATGTTTTCCGAAGGAAAACATGCTGTAAATTTAATGAAAATTTGCATAAAAAGGAGAAATTTCGAAAATTGGCCTATTTCCTGACCTCACTGTGATCTCTGTATATACTTAACCTTAAAACCAACACTCATTTTGTGGCAGGGGTGACAACAGGTTTTTATGGATAAACTGTTGGATCATTCTGAAAGACACCCAAAACCGGGGGCCAAATACTGGTCTTACCCTATCTTGCCCTTTCTTTTTAATATTCCACCTTAAAGTGTTTGCTTAAAGAATGATATTCCGCTTGTTTTTAGAAATCACACCATGCAACAATCAGGTTCCAATACTCTTTAATAGAAAAATTAATTTTACCTTCATTTCAACTTTTAGTTTGTATAAGTTTGGCAAATCCTGTTTGACAATGAAAAAGGAGGAAATTTTTACACCCCCCCCCCCTGGAAAAAAAATTACGTTAAATCAAAAAAGAAAAAAGATAAATGAAAAGCAAAAATATAAATAAAACTCTATACCTTTCAATAATACTGAAAGAGGCTCTTGATAAAATATTGAAATGAAGTTAAGCCTTTAAGGTAGAACCTATGTCGGAAAAGTCTTCGTCACAAGATTTTTAAACTTTTCAAAATGATAAATTAGTACTTGTTTATCAATCAGTTAAAAGCTCATGATATGTTTCCTTGTTTTTAAATCTAGTACAGGCTGTGAAACTTGGTATAGTATTTACGTACTGCAACTTCACATTTTCAAATATTTTTAGGGGTATTTGTCATAAAGGGAATATGAAAAATCACAAAAATACCTCCTCAAACATCGTCGTTTATAAACTTTATTAACTGAACAATATTAAACAATATTTTCTCAAGAATTATTTCTTTTTCATTCAATTGACATAAAAGATAAGTCCACCATTAAAAAAAATAGTCAAATGAACTCTTATTATTTTTAGTCAATTTTGCACCCTACATTTGCAAATATTTTTTAAAAGTCTTTGTCACAATGTTTTCAATCTTTAATATGATGAAGAACATACCCAATGATTACAAAAAAAGATTAAAATGTATACCTTTCCCCTCTAACTAATGAGAAATAGGCTATTTACCGTTACTCATATTCTTGACCTTTTTGCACTTACACGGATTTAAGAATTACATGACTGTTTGGGGTTACTTTCAGATTAAATATTTATCAGAAATTGTACCTTTAATTTAAAAAGATCATATTTAATAGAAAAATTGTAATCAAACACCAAGCATATGAATAAGTAACAAATAATTGTTAAAAGGAATGCGCATCATTTTATTATAGATATCACAAAAATGTACACACGAACACACGATCTACAACACGTACATCTTTGACTTACCGATAGACACATTTCATCATGATATTACACTATATAACTGTAGCTGGCAACTAAAGATTTCTTATGATTGTTGCATTCCTTCAAAATGGTTACATACCATTCAAATTATTAAGAAAGTTGTATACATTATTTCATTCCACTAGATAGTCTTGGGTTTGTCAACTTCAGGTCTAGATCTAGTAAATGAAAGGTGCCAACATATTTTCTCTTATTCGAGAAATATATTGCCATTAAGCATTATAAACCAAAAATATATGAATTAAATTAAGATTACTTTGGCATGGCTGAATTCTGTGAGTTTCAAAATGCAGTATTTTCTACCATTTCTATTGAAGCTGTCAAGTACGGGAAAACGTGACATTGAATTAATTATGACGTCATAATGGATTTATGACGTCATAATGGTTCAAGCAAAGGTTAAATACATTCACCAGTTATGATGTCATACGACGTAGGTTCTACTTAAATGTTAGCGGGGGTATACTTGAAAGTATTGTGGCAAAGTAACAGTTGAATGATTTCTTAAATTAAGTTGAAAATTAGTAGAATAGTAGATTATTTTAAGCTTATTTTTAGTCCCTCCTTATAGCAAAATAAAGGCAGGGTAGTTTTTTTTTTTTTTTTTTTTTTGCTTTTGTTGATAATCGACTTAATCCTAAATACACCTAAAAATATGCTCTGTAAAGCTATGGGCTAGTGTAAAATACACATTCTAATGCAAAAAGTATATATGTAGACATAACCTTTTGATTTAGCACACAGTATTCATTACATTTCTAAATTCTTGTTTTACTCCACGATTTTACCCAGTTCTGAGTATATTTTTCAGAGAATATAATATGAAAATCAGAACAAACATTTTCATTTTTGTAACGTCTGCCTTATACTGTGTCATAATGTGAAAAGTTAATTGAAGACCATTTCTTTTTATGTCCATGTAATCGAAGATTCGGGGGTATATAGTTTTATCGTGTCCGTCTGTATGTCTGTCTGCTTTCTGACGGCCTGTTTCTCCGCAAAAACTTTAACCTTTACCATAACTTTTCATTTATTGTAGCTATGTCTTTCATATTCAATATTTGACATTCCTTGTGACAAGACCTTACTTTGGGTACCACCAAATTTGACCTTTTGACCTTTACCTTGGAGTTTGTCCCATTTCACACAAAAATGCAAACATTTTAATTTACTTTTGCTATAATTTTTAAACGGTAGATACTAGTACTCTCATATTTCACAAATGTAATCCTTGTTACATTAAACCTTTCTTAAGAAACCATCAACTTTGCCCCTTTGACCCTTGAGTTGGACCTTCCTTTCAAACACTTATCCTTAACCATTAATTTTGAACAAGTGGTGCTAGAGCTTTCCTATTTTGCAATTGAATTTCTTGTGAGAAGACCCTACTTTAGGTACCATTATATTTAAATTGCCTTTAAGAAAAGTTTAATTTTCGCTATGTTGCCATACAGGGGTATAGCTGTTTTACAAATACATCTTTTTATATATGAGAGGGGTTGCGGATAACAGATGGATACCCCAAAGCGTAACAGACGGACCGACATCCTGATCACTATAATACCCTCCCGCTTTTCAAGCGAAGGATATAATAATATATGATAATATATGATACTGCTGATTTTTCTGTCAGTACGATGATTTCCACCATCGAAAAACAATGTTTACCCAACCCTTAAGGCTCGATAAATCTTTACTCCTTTAGAGTCTAAATCATCGAATTGACCTTAAAATATAGCTATAATCGTATGTTATGAGATCAACATATATCATCAACTTAATCCCAGTAAGCTCAGGTGAGCATTTTGGCCAATATGCTTTTTTATCTAATTTTTTTTATGCCCCCTAAATATTTCAGCTTTAATCAACAGGGAGTCATTTTTCTACGGGGGTCATTTTTCTACGGGGGTAATTTTTCTTCGCGTGGGTTCTGCAAATTTTTAGGGTGGTGACACTTTTTCTACGGGCAAAACTGTCATTTTTCTACGTCGAATAATGACCGGGGGTCATTTTTCGCTGTCGAAAAATGACCCCCGGTCATTATTCGATGGGGGTCATTATTCGTCTTTACACCGGCGCCATTTTGGATTTTACGAGAAAATATGGGGAACACAAAAATTAACTCTCAGAACTTTTGAAATGCCCCTCGTAAGTATACGAATTCTTTTTTTTTTATTGGATTCAAGCAACATACAAGTAGTAAAAGGTATATAAAAATAAATCTTTAAACTTTAGATAACCTTGCTTCTCTGTACATAAAAATTTATGTGACACATACAAGTACCACTGTGCCATTTGAGGTGTTTGAACATCAAATCTGATTATATCTACAGTTCATCTGAAAGCTAAATTTTATTATTTGGGTTGAGACTCCATGATTTGAAAATTAATGTAATATAAATTGAAAAATACCACTTACCATTTAAAAAGAAAGCTTTTCGTTCAATAAACATTGAGGCCGTGGTTTATATTGACTCTTTAAAAGGGGAGTATATCCTACTCCTAGAAAGGAAGAGGGGGAAGTTTGGCTCTGGTGTAAGATTTCCTACCCTAGAGTAGGATTTTCGGGGGTTAACGTTTGCTATTGAGGAAATCCTTCTCTACAACACCAGTACTATTTTTGCTATCTAATCCTCTTTTCGCTCCTGAATGTTTGAAGAAAGGGTTAAAGAAGTGATGTAAATCAAATGTTGTATCTCAAAAATGTTAAAATTTTTTAGAAGATTCAAAGATAAAATAATAATTTTGAAAAATTAATAAATTTGAAACGTATAACTTTTTGAAATTAAATTCTACAATACATTATTTGCTAGCTTTTTGATATTATAGCAAATACTTCTTAGGAACAGCCTATCAGAGTTTTTTCTATTGTTAGGATTGGTCAATAGCAAAATAACTTTCTGAGAAATCAATTTTTTTACACACAAGCACTCTGCAGTAAATTGAAAAGCTATAAGTATTTTGAGGTCGACGTTGACATCATTTACGGATACTTAAGTTTGTGGAATAGTACGTCTTACATTTAAAGTTGGAATTACCGTAGGTAATACTGAGTACCTATGCTCCTTCATTTGTGACCCGGCTTATCTACTATCTTAAGAGTCAATTTCAAATTACCCCGAATATCCTAGACTCCTACACGTCACATGGGCGTCGCTTTTGTCCCAGTAAGAGTTGCAAATACCTCGCCATTGGTCATGCGCAAAGACTTCAACTACCCCCTCATGTGGTGAGCTACCATTGACAAGTCTGACCGTAGCTACATTAAAGATAATTAAAAATATAAACCTTTCTGAATAAAATAAAAATATTTAAAGAAATAAAGAAACTACTACAAACCATTTAAAGACTTGTAACAGCTAACTCCCGCGTCATCATGATGTCTACAACCATCAATTCCTCTTAAATTACATTTTAACAAAGAATCTTCATTTCCGTTACATCTCAAGTATTGCAAACCCCAGATTTCTTCTCTCCTATTTCTAGGAGACGGAAATTTTAAAGGAATACCTCTACAAAAGATTGTTGTTTTATAAAGAAATGTCAAGAGATCGACTTTTTATGTTTGTAAACACATCGTATAAAACATCAAAGGGAATATAAGATTCCTCTCACATCAAATGCATAAAAAAAATGCCTTAGATGCTGAATTTTTTTAGAGGTCAAGCAACCCAAAATGAAAATGCCCTGCGATTTTGTATCATCAGTCTGCTGTTGTATGCAAATTATGAGTTTCCTTTAACAAGTTTTAAAGATTTTATAGATAATTGAAATTTTGACTTAAATCTAAGTCTGTTTCATGATCCCGGGGCCAGCTCTTTAGACCTAGTTGTCTACTTCTGGAACAGAAGAGAAAACTGTGAACATAAAATATAACACTTTTAAAATTCGCTTTTCTGTATATTAACAAAACAATATTTTGCTGCGTTTTAGGGCAACATAAATCATATAAACAACCTTGGAACAAAATGATTGCCCTCCGCTCCCATTAATGTTTCATGTTTCATCCCTGTAGGACTTATACATCAATATTTGCCTAAACCACAGTCTATTTAATGGTATAATATTATAATTACCCTGAATAATTTAACCTTCTACAAGTGATATCGGCGCTATTTTTGTCCCAGCCAAGGTCACATATAGTTCGCCATCGTCCATTCACCAAAATTTCAACTACACCTTCATGTGGAAGACTACCATTCACTAGTCTAACTGTACCTACAATTTAAATGACATATGAATTGGTATATTCATCGATAAAATGGTAAATACAATGAGTGTAATAACCAAACACACCATTTGAGGTATGATAACAAATTACTCCCGCCTCTCCGTATTTGTTACAAGGAAAGTCAGCATTTGCTGGGCACTTTAACAAAGAATCTTCGTTTCCTCTACATTCCATACGAGGTAAACGCCATATTCCTTCATTTGGATTTCTCTGTGTTGGAAACGTAACAGGAATTCCTCTACAATATTTTTTTTTAAATTTAAGTATTCGTCTAGAAAATGAAAAACGTCTTCTGACATACCTGAGAGGAACATAAAAAACATTATTATTGAGTTTTAGCCAATCTTTTTTAAAGAAATCAAAGGACATTTATATAAAAGACTTTCAAAAATTATAAAGTTCGTTTTCTTCAGAAAACACATATGTTTTTAGATTTTCATTACAGAAACTGTTCAACATTTAGGAATATTGAAAAAGGTATAAACACATATAGTGATAATTTACATAGAGAATAATACATATACCTTTTCCGCATCACATCCTGTATCAGCCCTCGACTAATATCAGCCATAAGGCCTTTGGCTCAGCAGGCTGATATTGGTGTCTCGGGCTGATACAGGAAGTTATATTGAAAAGGGTATGTTTTATTATGTTTATTACATACTTAGTAATAAAATACAGTGCACATTAAGTTGAGAAGAAAAAAAGTAAATAATCATGCAAGGACTTCTTACACGTACACTATTGTCTCATACGGTTTGTTTTTTTCTGCATGTACTTCTATTTCAAATGTGGCCGATCCGTAATTTGAAAATAATATATGATTTGTCAATTAGGTTTATGTAGAATATGTAACCCCCAAAATATGTGTATGATCACAAGTACTGATTTTGAGGTTTAATTTACAAACGGTATGATATTGATCCGTCCCAGCCCGGCAGATCCATACCAGCCCTGATAAGGCTATCGTGACGTCAGACATATCGAATATGCCAAAATACTGTATTCAATACTAAGAATGTAATAAATATAATTATGTTACGTTGCAATATAACAGTCTTATTATTCACTCCAGACTTTAACCAATCAAAGCTCGTGTTAGAAGCTACAAAGGAAATGAAATTCTATATTACCCTGAATATCCTAGCAGCCCACATGTTACTTTAGCTTCACTTTTGTCCCACAAAAAATCACATACGCTTCTCCATCTACCATTTACCAAAACTTCGACAAAACCTTCATGTGGAAGACTTCCATCGACAAGTCTTACGGTAGCTTTACATTAAAAGATAAATGATTTAAAATTCAGTTAATTGTAAACTAAACTGAGAAATAACATGGAAAGTCTCCCAAACCCACCGGTTGATGATTTATAGCAAATAACTCCAGCTGAGTTTCTACAACTTGGGGATCCCCAACCTGCACATTCTAACAAGGAATTTTCATTTCCGTCACAATCCATGCGGTTGAAGAACCAAATATGTTCCCTGCTATTTCTGGAAGTTCCTGGGAATGAGATCGGTAAACCTCTACAAAGAACTTTATAATGAATTTCGGCAAAGCATATTGCAAAAAAACAGAGAATATATTCAATTGTGTGATTTGATATTGGCCTTATCCAACGAGGTGAAATGGTGTATATATTCGCGAGGCTTGTCTTTTTAACGAGTTGGATAAAGCCAATATCAAATCGCACAATTATAGATGCTCTATTTATCTCATACGACATTTGTTTTTAACAAACCTTTGAGTCTACCCCCGTGCACCTTCAGGAATGATTTCTAATTCAAATTAATGACCTATAACTTGATAACATAGCACTGTTGATGTTGACATGCCTCGAAAGAAGGTAGATCTAGATCGTGTTCGAAATAAAAAAAATTGCTATCTGTGTCTTTAAAAACATTATGTGACAATTGCTGGAGCTTTACATCAACCGAACTTCTGACTGAAAGTTTTTAGGACCAACGGATCGTGAAAATTAACTCTTTTTACGGTGCTAGGCAAGGGCTAATGCTACTTGTAGATTAATTGTTGTTCCATGGTAAATTTCACAGGTCTACCATACTAGGTAGACATACAAAGTAGGTCTTTAACATAAGACAAGAGGCCATTGGGCCACATCGTTCACCTGAGCACTGTGGCTAGGAAAAAGAAGAAATTGATTTATTATTGAAAAGTTTAAATCCCAAAGTAGTCCCATGACCAATCATGGCTTTGCTATTCTTGATAAGATGATTTTAAAAGAATTTTCCTGTATATGTCTATGTAAAACTTTGGTTCGTCATTGTGGTCCCGCCCTACCCCCCGGTGTCATGATTTGAAGAAATTTGAATCTACACTACCTGAGGATGCTTCCATATAAATATGATCAATTATGGCTTGGTTATTCTTGAGAAGAAGATTTTAAAGAATTTTCCTATATATTTCTATGTAAAACTATGGTTGGCCATTGTGGCCCCGCCCTACCCCCTGGGGTCATGATTTGAACAAACTTGAATCTACACTACCTGAGGATGCTTCCATATAAATATGATGAATTATGGCTTGGCTATTCTTGAGAAGAAGATTTTTAAAGAATATTCCTAATATTTCTATGTAAAACTTTGTTCGGCCATTGCGGCCCCGCCTTACCCCCTGGGGTCATGATTTGAACAAACTTGAATCTACACTACCTGAGAATGCTTCCATATAAATATGATCAATTCTGGCTTGGCTATTCTTGAGAAGAAGATTTTTAAAGAATTTTCCTATATATTTCTATGTAAAACTTTGTTCGGCCATTGTGGCCCCGCCCTACCTCCGAGGGTCATGATTTGAACAAACTTGAATCTACACTACCTGAGGATGTTTCCATATAAATATGATGAATTATGGCTTGGCTATTCTTGAGAAGAAGATTTTTAAAGAATTTTCCTATATAAATCTACTTAAAACTATGGTCGGCTATTGTGGCCCCGCCCTAACCCCAGGGGTCATGATTTGAACAAAATTGAATCTACACTACCTGAGGATGTTTCCCAATAAGTTTAATCTTTCCTGGCACAGTGGTTCTTAAGAGGAAGATTTTTAAAACATACCTCCAAATTTTCATTAATTCCCAATTATCTCCCCTTGAATGAGGGCGTGGACCTTCGTTTGAACAAACTTGAATCCCCTTTACCCAAGGATGCTTTATGGCAAGTTTGGTTGAAATTGACCCAGTGGTTCCTGAGAAGAAGTCCAAAATGTGAAAAGTTTACAGACAGACAAACGGACAGACAGACAGACAGACAGACAGACAGACAGACGGACAGACGGACGCCGGACAAAATGTGATCAGGAAAGCTCACTTGAACCTTCGGCTCAGGTGAGCTAAAACATTGTTGAAGATGTGAAAGGAATCTTATAACAACAACTTAACTGCTAGGCTTTTTCTACGAAATGCAAAAGTAATGATTCACTCATTTCTCTTACTATTGTATAATTTATGTTGATAAAGAATGGGTGGACTTAACGCCCTATTTTGGATCTTTTTGAGACTACTCTAACAAGTTGAAAATAAAATGAATCCAAAATATATTACAACCACTAGAAAGAGCGACGTATACATGGTTATTTTAGCTAGAACATATGTACAAAAGCATTTGCCCTTGTTGCCATGAATCAAAATTGAAACAACGATACATTAGTGTCGTCTTCCGGAATTTGACATGTACCCGGAGTGGTTTTTAGGTCGCGCTATCAATATTAATAGGAGGCGGGGCTATCGATCGGTGTCATTGTTGACATTTCTCTCTCTCTCCATCTCTCTCTCTAGAATTTCGAATACGTGTTTGGAACATTACAGCGATGTCATTATGATTTTTTGAAAAAAAATGTGAGGACACGCAAAATTGAAACAACATTTAATGTGCTAAATACTGAAAACAGCACCAAATATAGTGATTTACATGTAGGTCATGCTGAAGAATACAATGTAACTGTTTCCAAGAGTACACTCGCAGGTGGACATCACGTGATGAATTGTAATATTTAACAGGTCAATCGAAGTCGTAACAATGGAAGCGAGAAGTTTGTTTCGAACATGTTTTTTGTAAAATTAAGTGTGAGCGCACGTTTGTCGGCTCTTCTCCTTTTAATATGACATTATTTTGTTCAATATACAACTACAGTTTTCGTAAGAACAGCCGACAAACATGCGCTGACTATGTATTCAGACGATGGAAAATGCGTGACCCTGATTATCTATTGATATTCAACAAGTCTTCAGGCACCATACCTTCGATATTTATTTAGTTTGCCTCGAAAAGAGCATTTTAAATTCACATCCGTACCATAAATAAACAGTTAAGATATCGGGGGTTTATATGATGGAAAAAAATTAACATTTTATGGAACTTAAATTTACGGCATTTTTTCTGGCCAGTTAAGCCCACCCATTCTTTATGTTGTAAAGTAAATATAAATACAACTAGAGCAAAGCTCGTTGCAAAGCAACGAGAAGGTCTTCCGTCCTGTTTGACCGGAAGTAACTTTCATTTTAACAAAAATGAGTAATAGCGTGCTAAAATTGTTCAAATCCTCTAAATCTATGTTATTTAATGCAAAAATCGGCCATTTTTGCTACTTCCGGTTTGACCAGAAGTGACGATGACGGACGGAAAATTAATTTTTATGCTCCCAGTGACAGATGTTACCCAAAATCTTGTCAAGAATGGCAAAATATGCGTTTTCCGACTACTTCCGGGGCCGGAAATGACGTCGCCGGACGTACTTTGAGGACCTCAATAGTTTGACCTTAACATTTTGAACAACTTTGCTTCTTTGACGTATTACAAATTCTCAATACTTTTTGAGATATAAAGGAAAAACTTTTGGCCCCTCTTGGCCCTTAATTTTAGGGGCCAGCCCTTTTTTCAAGGTATCATTTGAAAGATATTCTAATTCTGCACAAATTATGTTCTATGTATTTTAACAAAATATATTTAGTTTAGAAGATAAAAAGTGAAATATGAGTAATTTTTGCCTCTTTTAAGCGTTCTAATTTTTGACCCCTATATAGCGCCATTTTGAATAGAGAAATCGAAAAACAAAAACCGATGTGCACAACTTCAATCCTTCTATTATCTAAAATCAGTAGAATTTCTGCTCCAGCTTTAGCCATCTCTGAGCCTTTGTCTGGAAACGAAAGCCTATAGATTTTCGTTTAAAGGGGAATAACTCAAAACCGGAATAGACTTTTTGAAATTTTCGACAGCATTCTGATAGAGTTTAGTAACTTCTAGTACCTCTGAAAATTTGAGCGAAATCAATTGAGAAATGAGTGAGATATGAGGCTTCAAAGTTGGCGTCTAGGAAGTAGAAGAAAAAAAAAAGAATAATAATCTTTACCAACAGAATCAGTAGAAGGTCTTCCGTTGGAAGCGGAAAACCTTAATTTCATAATGTTCGAGGGCTGTTTGGAAATTATTGAGACATTTACTTTGACTTCAAAAAGGGCAAAAACAAATTCAGGAAAATTCGTCAACATTTTTTGAAGAACGAATAAAAGAATTATATAAATTTTCTAATTTATAGGATAATTAGTTATAAGTTCCGGTGAAATATGTATATCGACCTGGAGCAGCATTGTTACATCAATTTAACATCACGTCAACCAGAGATGTTTTCGCATGTAAAAGGATCGGGAAACGGTTACTCTCCATTCTTTGATTTGATACAATGTGTCCTACAAAAATCAAACGGTCTGTTTTCTTAAACGGTTCTTAAGGTAGGATTCTTCTCTGGTTTCTGACTAGATGGAATATTCAAAGTACATTTGTTGATATTGTCATATATTTAAATGTAAGAGATTTAAAAGATCATATTTTTCTTTCCTCATAACAATTATACACCTTTAAATAGAAATGGTAAACTGTGTTTGAAAACTAGCAGGGACTATATTTTTGGCGTAATGGTGGCGTATGAAAATATCTTCTTTTCTGCCTCTCAAATTTATTATAAAACATTGAATTTAGTTATAATTTTTACGCAATCAAAGACAAGACGAAATTTTCAAATGTAAGTTAAATTAATACTTAGGGACTAAAGTATCAAAATATATCAAATAGATAAGATTTTTCACATATACTAGAACTATGTTGGCTTTTAAATGCTTCAAATCTAAGTACAGATTTGAGCCAAAAATCCGTAGAAAGTGTTATTTCTCACTTAGTAAACGATCAAAACTTTTAGTGTTTGTATCATTTTATACCTTTATCTCATAGCTTTACTATATGTGAAAATTGGAAAAAGTTAAATATAGGAAGCTTATAAAAATAACTAATAAATTCTAAAGATTTAAGAAAAGTAGAGTAAATTTGGATTAGTAAATATCCATTTTATTTAAATTATCCATGTCAATTTGGTAATATCACCTTATAGGCCCTATATGGTAGTATCTTTTTATGCAAAAAGAAAAACATTCAATCTTTTGAATTACATGTAGGAATCGTATGATTGGAAACTGTAATTTTTTATTCTTAATGTCCAGGAAAAAGGTAATGACCTTGACCTGACCTTGCCTCTAATATTAAACGGTCAAATTTAATCTCACTGATACCATCTGGTCCTCTTGATTCTGTGAAAATTTCATTAATTTTTAAATACAAGAAATGTGAGAAGAATTCTACCTTAAGAAACAACAAGAGGCCTACGGGCTTTATAGGGTACCTGAGTATCATGTAACGACTTTCCAGCAATTAAATTTGGTTCGTGTTTTAATCCAAAAGCCACGAAATTCACAATTTTTAAAGATACACCATTGCTTATCATAACTATACACTTAGCATGCTTACTTTGGTTGCCTAATACCCAGATGTAGATCAGAGAAACAAAGAAAAAATGCATCTCTACTTTATAGCCACCAGTTGTGCACCCCACCCAACAGGAACCATTGACACTATGGCCACATACTTTGAAATTTTGGAAACTTTATTATAAATTTTCTTTCATCATAAATGGTTGATTAATACCAAAGAGCAGATTTAAAAGCATTAATTTGTTTTCAGACATAGTACCCCCTGGTACCCCTGACCCATGGGGCCTGAAATTCACTATTTAGAAAGACGCATCCTTGTTTATCATAAACTTGTAATTAGATCATTTTCATATTAACCAGGAGCAAAGCAAGAGACTTTCAAAGAATTCTTGCATTTCACTATATTTTCATTAGAGCACCGCCCTAACACCAAAACCCCTGACCAAGGGGCCATGAAATTCAAAATGTTGGAAGAGACATTCTTGCTCATCAAATCTTTGTACTCGGTTAGTTTACTGTAAATCACTTTTTATTCGCGAGAACTTTATTTTCGCGTAATTACGCGAGACAGTGTGCTCGCGAAAATTTAATTCTCGCGTATAATAGTATTCTTTAAGTTATATAAAGCAATAAACACAATTCGTGAAAATTTTGTGACGCTAATCAAGAGTCAATGACTATCTCGCGAAAATAAGGTGTCGCGAAAATTTAGTGATCTACAGTATTTAATACCCAGGAGTAGAGGAGAAGATTTTCAAAGAATGTATGTTATTTCAATATATAACCGATAGAGCCCCATCCTAACACCAGAGACCCTGACCCCGGGGCCATGACATTCACAATTTTGGAAGAGGCAGCCTTATTTAATATAACCATGTCCTTGGTTAGTTTATTTAATGCCCAGGAGCAGAGAAGAAGATTTCAAAAATTATGCATTATCACTAAAATATAGCACTTGAACCCTTGACCCAGGGGCCATGAATTTCACAATTTTGGTAGCGGACTCAATGTTGATTACATTGTACAACCATGCCAACAGTTTGACTACTTGATGTCCAGGAGGAAAGAAGAAGATTTTTAAAGATTGCATTAATTTAAGTGCTTTTGGCCCCATTTCTCAGGGCCCAGGGGAACAGGGACTGTGAAATTTATAATTTTTGTTCCCATTTACCTATAAATGCTTTCTGTCAAACTGAGCTGGATTTTGCTTAGCGGTTGCAGAGAAGAAGCTGAAAATGTTCAAATGTTAACACACGACATAAAACGCACGACGACAGACGAAAACTGATAGCAATAGGTCACCCGAGTAGCTGAGTGCTAACCAGTGTATTTTTTTTCATGCGTTATATATACAGGATGAATTAGTATTATGTAGTGCAGATTTATACAAAGATGGTCAATGTTCTTAATTCCGTAGCAGTAAAAATTGATAGTCATCCGGACCTTTTGATTTAAGATTTATATGAAAGAAAAAGTATAAACATATGAAAAGACAAATGTTTCGACATGTACTCGTACTTCCCGTTGTTATTGTTTTAGCAGGTTAGTCAGTCTGGAAGAGTTTTACATACCGATACAAACAATTTACCGTGACTGCGCCGAGTACCCCTACAAATGTCACATTTATATACCATTGAGGAAAAGAAATTCAAAATTTCGAAATTATATCGTGCTTTTATGAATTCGTAATATTTGTAAAACTTATATGCAAATTGTCAACGAATGACATTCATTAGAAAGACATATATACACACTGTGTCAATAATTTTCGAACAGCACTCGAAATAATAAAGAAGAACTAAAAAAAATATTTGCAAAATTGCTTCGTCTTTATTTATTTTAAAATAGATTCATTACACCTACAGCGGCTGTGACTGGTCGGAAGGGAATGCTCCCTCTTCCTTTATATCTTATCCCGTCTCTGATGTTTTGGGGGCCTGTATTTGATCTGCTTCTACTTTGTACTGTTTTATGGATTTTTGCAATTGAATACTGTTCAGTATCTCTAAATATTTCACCTATTAAGTCAGAGCCAATGGCATTCAAAGCTAAGGAGCAAAAAAAGACAATATATTGGACGAGAACTTGAGCAAAGTGCCCCCTTTCTTGCACGTATAGATGTAAACCCCTTGATGCGTTTTGGGGATTTAGTTAAAACAAAATAGCTAGAGAATGTGAACAATGTCAGATTTTGTGATTATGACATTGCGTTCTAGTAAAAATAATGTGAATGGGTTTTCTATTTTTTTAGTTGGTTTTCAAAGAAACCAATAATCACAACATTCAAAAGCAATGTAATTTGAAGTTACCCTATAAATCCTATACTTCTACATGCCACATCGGCGTCATTTTTGTCCCATACGTGCGCGCAAACACCTCTCCAATGACCATTTACCAAAATTTGAACTAATCCCTCATCTGGGGAATCGCCATTGACTAATCTAACTTCTCCTGTAATATAAAGGTAGGTCCGTACTTTTAAAATTTTCTGTCAAAATGATAAATTTTTAATTTGAATACCTTGAACAAGTCATAAACTAACTATAACACACACAAAAGATACATTTTTGCAGGTTAATTTTCCTACAACATGTCTAAAAATTCAACAGACAAAATTGAACATAAAGAGTGTGATATCATATTTTATTTAGCTATTTACCAAATCACATCAAATTCATATTAAAACTGATGAAAATAACAAATATCCATTTGCCAAGAGTATATTTGAAATCTTTAATGGATATTATTAACGAATTGATGTTGAATCTGTCCACGTCTTTCAGAAAAAAAAATCTCAAATTTTATTTTTTTCATAATTCTATAAAAATCAAACTTGTTTATATGCCATTTTTTTCTTTATAACTATCTAAAGTTAACAAAAACACAAACTTTAAGATTGACCAGAGAAATTTAGCAAAACAGCCTTTTGAACTTTTGAAAAACCCATTTTTGAAGTATCAATTTTTCAAACATTCTTTTCAAATTTTGAAAAAAAGAATAAAATTTAAATTGATATAGGCTCAAAATCAATGAAAATAGATATCTACTTAGGTAAAAAAAAAAGAAAAAACCGATTTACGTCCATGAAAGCAATTAAAATTGTGTGTCTGTTTATGTACTAAATGACATGAAGATCCTATCTACAGAGTGCAAAGTGTTAATCTCCATAAATTATGTATATGAAATGCTTTTAATGACACTATAATAAACAAAAATATATACTTGCAAAATTATTTTCAGTCATCCAAAAAGAGTTTATTTCAATAGACAAGTAATAATCAGAACTTTATATTGTTGTTTAAAATTAAAACCGGACCCGTAAAAGTATGGACCTTCCAAATAATAACCAGGATAGATCCTTCAACAGAATAAAAACATGACGGTAAATAAAATCCCCACAACTCACCCTTTTTGGACGGATAACAAATAACTCCCGCGTCCTCATCACGTCTACAACGTCTTGTCCCCCTTGCTTCACATTCCAGTAAAGAATTTTCATTTCCTTCACAACGAGTGTGAGTTAATTTCCATAGATTGTTTCCTCCTTTTGTTTGAGTCGGTACTGATACAGGGATACCTCTACAAATTAGGCTGATAACTTTAAACTTCATACAAATCAAATTACTTAAAGAATAGATGATGCATTGTTGAGAAATTTCCTTCCACTTATCAAACCTTTTTGCTTCTCAGAGAGAATGGGGCATCATTAAAATAATATTTAATATTGATTATAGATCAATTATAAGTAACTATGTTAACTTAATTATGGTGACTATGATTTAAAACAGATCATCAACTTTTGCAATAGTTAAAAAAAAGAAGAGTTTCTTAAAGTAGAAATCTGGAAGCATAACTAATTTATGATTTAAATGATAATTTAATGATAATTATAATGATGAATTTAAATGATAAATACGAGGGGTTATCAAAAAGTTCGTGGACTGAGGCTATAAAATTAGTACTATGTAGTCTGAGCTTACAAAATTTTAAAGGAACATAAAACAACAAAATTTAAAGAAATGTTTAAAATGTTAGCTTTATACCTTCATTATTTCCAAAATTATTATAAAATAAAACGACATTATATCATCACCCGGTGCCGTCGCCGTTTAGTTTTATGACGTCCGACAACGTCATTGTTTTCAAATGTCTGCTCCTTCTACCTCATCCACTTATTTTGATGATATTCCCTGGAACTGAGTAAGGACTTATATCCGTCTTGTTTATATGACTTTACAATGTCATGAACAGCGGCTTTTAAAGCATATACTATTGCGAATAGATTCATAAATGGCAGAGATCCTAGCTTGATTGTGCCAGTATATTTTGCTTTTTGGAGTTCAATATCTACAACACATGATCAACGTAATTTTTTGACGTGATTTATTTTTCACACCTTGATTACAAATCGACATTTAATGTGCATTCATTTTCTCTCTGAATCTATTTTGGCATTAAAAACAAGTTATCTGGATGCATATTATTTCTCCGTAGCCAGTTTAAACATTTCCTAGGTGTATATTAGTTTTTCCTGCGGCAAAACTCCATAGAATGTTGGAAAATGAAACCCCTCCCCCTCATGACGTCATTTTCAAGGCAATATGTGTTTGGTTACTCCATGTAAGATTTACGATAAAATTTCATAGAACTTCCAGAATGAGTTAAAAATTTAATATTTCATGGAACAATAGTGTCCCAAAACATACCTGAATTAACGGGATTTTTGGATGTCAAATGTTCATGCCACAAAAGTTTTTCTTAGTTATACCTAGGTAGAAAAAACCGTCTTTTTCGAGGTTGCGCCGCATGGACATACCATTGCTTACAAAAACATTACCAATTTATCAAAAAACAAAATTTATGATTTGTGTTTTACTCTATAGATAGTAATGATGATGATAACTTGATATTTTAAAATTAATTCATGTACCTAAAGCGGTTTTAATTTTATGGTGCTAGTCCACGAACTTTTTGATAGCCCCTCGTATATGATTTCTAGGATTACCCTGAATAATTTAGACTTTTACATGTAACATTTGCCTCATCTGTGCCCCACCAAGTGTCGCATACACGTCGCCACTGATGATTCATAAACACTTCGACTAAACCCTCATGTGGAGAGCTACCAACGACTAATCTAATTGCACCTGTATTTTAAATAATAAACTATTACATGGTCTATTCAATATGCTGACAATCAATGATCAATATATTTTTTTTCTCTCACTTTTTGATGAAGGGTAACAAATCACCCCCGCCTCCCCTTCCTCGGAACAACTTCCTGATCCAGATGCTTCACAATCCAACAAAGTAGCTTCGTCACCTCTACATTCTATGTTAGGTAAATGCCAAATATCTTTCATCCCATGTCTTTGATTTGGTATTGGTACGGGAATACCCCTAAGAAATGTTTTGTCATAAGAAATTAATGATAGAAACAAGAGAACATAAAAAATATTTCTGTTTGAATTTCTGTATGTTTCCATCTATTACGAGGGTCATTGGGTCAATCAACAAATACGTACTAGACAATGTTCCTCATCGTCATATAAATACAAGATTATAGATCAACACATTTTCGTAAAAAAAGAAACATTAATTTTGTCGAAGTTTGATTAATTAGAATTCATGTTAGCCAATTTTTAAAGCAGCATGTCGTCTTACCAATGAGCACGGTTAACGAACAATGTAACGTCAAAAACAATGTTTCTAAATATAACTCTGCTTTTTATTTCATACACGGTTTGTAGCGTCTTCTCCTTTTATATAAAAAAAAAAAAAACGTATCAAGAACACTTGATACCTACGAGGGTTGTCCAAAAAGTTCGTGGACAATAACGTTTTTGTCAAAATAAATGGTTCAATATACATCTATTGTAAATCTAAATATTTCTTATGAAAAACCAAGTCAGAATGATTGAATTTTTATTGATGAAACTTAATTTTTTTTGTAAAAATCGGGGTCTTTAAAGATCACAGATTGTGCGCACGGACCAGTCTGACGTTAAGCTTATTTCATTATAACGTCAAACATTTGGATTTGGAATTAACACATGTTCATGGACACACACTAAATTTCTTTTTTAAGTCGCAATGCTTTTCCAAGTGCTAGCAATAATCTTAAAGCATAGAGTATAATTTATTAAATTTTTAAAATTCAAAACAATTCACAAAAATTTATGCACAAAATTTTACGAGCGTCATCTAAATAAAAAGTTTGTATACACAAACTGCACAGCCAAGTCCGACACTGCGCTAGATTTATAAGAATGTCATGAATAGATATCTCCATTTTCAGTAAATACATGTGTTTTTAAATTTGTGTAGTGTCTGTCTTGACACCGTTCAAAAATCATATATGCCAATCTCAAATTGATACACTAAACATATTTAAATAATTTTGAGGTGTTTTAACAAATATTTTGTCTCTTACGTCGTTTCAACCGTATTAAAACTTATTTTTTTGATCGGACGCTGCCCCGTGCGGACGGCCGACGTCGCTTTTTTGTCGAGTTTTGACACGTGTTTGTTAGGGTTTTTGTTTAGTATTTGTACTGTCTATATAGTAAGCGATACTTAAGATATCAAAAAATGATTATAACCTCTTTATTTGTCTTACATAAAATTTTTATGAATTTTTGACTTGTTTTATATAGAAAATAATCATTTTAGTCTGAACACTTTATATCAGAGTTTATGTCATCTTAACCTTGGTCCGTGCACACAATCCGCGATCTTTAGAAACCTCGATTTTTACAAAAATATTACGTTCCATCAATAAAAATTAAATCATTCTGGCTTGTTGTTTCATACGAAATATTTTCATATACAACAGATTTATATATCATAATTTATTTTCACAAAAACGTCATTGTCCACGAACTTTTTGGACAACCTTCGTAGAATGCTAACAATTGTGCAAAATAACTTGAACTAGATTGTCAGCGTTTTAAAATCTTTACCGCGTAACTCTATTATTTCCACAACAGTGAAACACATATCATGTTTAATGACATTCCAAATTCTTTTCATAAGATTTATAACTATAACCCGTTTCTTTGCAGACCACCCATCGTCCGATTCAAATTCGCTACAACTAAAAAATTGTATTTTCCATTTTATACCAATACACAGCCTACTTTCCAAACATTTCCTGGTTTATACAGATTGTTTGTTTAAGAGGTTTGCCGAATGTAAAGCAAAATTTTATTGCAACTCGCTGCTCCGTGACGTCCTCCAACGTCATGGATTTTGCCTTTTTAAATCAATTCATCTGCATTTAGAAACTGATAAATGGAGCGATATATGATATCATACCTGATAGCATGTTAAGTAATACAGAAATGCTTAATTTACACATGTAATTTTTATTTCGTCTCAGCTCCACTTATTAGTGGTATGGCGATAGCTACTAAAAAGGGACAATAAGTAAATTACTACAAATTTTTGCAAACAGTGGGAACGTTTTAGAAGATTAACCCTAAACGCAAATAAGGACCCCCAATCTATATAACAACCATTCCACATACTGTTATGGCAGACAAAGTAAAATTATTTCTTGCTGCATTTATTTTATGCTGGGTTTGTAATTCAGAAGAAGAGATTCATTGATGAAATCCGCATTTTGGTGATTCAAATATTTTAGGGTAATTTGGTTTATATATTTTAATGCAAAATCTCATCATTGAAAAATAGATGTAATGAAAAAACAAACATGCTATATTTATTCCTTGATACCTTGATCAAAATATAAATTTTAACACTCATTTCTTAAATCAAGATATGTGCACGAAAATATGATGATTATTTATTTTACCATCAATCGGCAGAAAATGTATAGCAACATTTTTTTTTGGCTTTGAATGTTATATGAATAAGATCGGTTATGTCAGATCTAAAATTCAATTTCACAATTTTTATTACCCTGGAAACCCTAATCTTCTACACGTCACGTTAGCTTCTGGACTGCCCCAACGAATGCCGCCACAAACTCTTCTCCATCGGTCATTGACCATAACCTCAACTAATCCGTCATCAGAGGAGCTACCATTCCCAATTCTAACTTGACCTTAAGAACAAATGACATTAAAAAAAAAAAAAAAAAAAAAAAACATTTACCAAGACTTCTCTAGAGAACAGAATTCTCTATTTATTATAAACTACATATATAATCTAAAAATACATAAAGTCTATATAATTAAAGCTTTTGAAAAATCTTGTGGTTTATTGAACAATATATTTCCATTATATCTACGAATACATGTTTATCCCGAAACTTTCTAAATAATATGATCTATCAATATTTTACAAAAACAAATATTCATAAGCTCGTGGTTTGTAAAGCCCACTCGTATCAATACTTATCAATATAAATTTCATGTTAACTACACAATAATACTGACCGTTCAATGTTTGGTAACATATAACTCCAGCCTCATAACTACATCCGGTTGATACTGATCGTGCACATTTTAACAGGGAATCCTCATCACCATTACAATCCATTTTATCTAAAAACCAAACATCATTCCCTCTTTCTCCAACCATTGGCAATGAAATTTGAAACCCTCTACAAAAGAACTCGATCATTATACATTGATTATATAGAATCATGAACATGATGAAGTAATGAACATTTTCTTCCTCTGATTAAAAAAAATCAGCAAACACGATCCGAAACTCATGTTGCCCATGAATTGAAGCAGGACAAATACACTATTATAAATCATTCAAAGAGACAGAGAGAATTTGGTCTGTATTTGATGAAGGCATAATTCTCTGTTTACATGAGCTAATGAATCAAAGCAGACATTGTGTATCATAGGTTTATGGAAAGACCAATGAACATTACTTTACTAAGGTCAGCTGTATTTATCTAAATTCTTATTAAATTAACATTGATTTTACTGTGGGTTTGAAATATTACAAATACTATCGTCATCGCTAGAATATGGAAAGTCTTTAATATACATGTAACTACCTTTCTAATGCCGTATTCTTCCGTTTTTTCAATGACAAGAGATTTAGTTTTCGGGTAATTGTTTTTTTTAAATGCGTTCATTGATAAAATGACATGAGCAGGTAAATTTAACTAGTTGAACTTTCTCGAAACACACAGCCTCTCTCGCATCCTCACTAACACCAAATTAAACTTTGAAAGAGTTAGAATAAAGGCATATAAAGAAAAGAAGACTCAATCTGAAAGAATCCGTGTATTTGTATAGGGACTGAAAATGAGATCCTGAAAAGAAAATAATACAGAAATAACGTTGATACCATGGAGCGACAGCTATACTTAAACATATTTTAGAGGTGTTCCTTTTCTTATAAACATTATGTTTGATGTTGTAAAATAACCGTGTATCTGATAAGCTTCAAAGAGAACTAATGGCAGGTTCTTGACAAGAGCTTTACAATGTATGGAGTACTAAATCGTTTATCGATTGGACAATTAGTACATGTGCATGTAATACTACTGGAAAAAAAGACGTTTGAATGCAAACTCGCATCTACTACACGTATAAGGATGCTTCAAGAAATGTTTTCTTTGTTGATAAACATAATTCAAATATTACCCTGAATATCCTAGACTTCTACATGTCACATTGCTGTCAACTCTGTCCCACCAGTTGTTACATACCCGTAGCCATCTGTCATTCACAAAAACTTCAACTAACCCTTCATCTGGAGTGCTACCATTAACAAGTCTAGGTTTCTCTGACATAGAAATGATTACAAACACTAAATAGATGTGGTAAAAGGTGTATTGATTTTAGAAGCACAAAACCTTAACAAAGATTTTACAATTACAGGGGACCTTCAGATATCCGGACGCCAGATATCAGGATGTTTCAGTATCAGGACGATTTCTCATCTGAACAAATTTTTTTAACGTTATTTTGTGTTGTTTAACTGGTAATTCAGATATCCGGAGGCTTCACATATCCGGACAAATTGACTGGGAACCAAAGCGTCCGGATAAATGAGGCTCCACTGTATTCTAGATATTCACAACTGCAAATTATAATTAGTAGAAAGAAATAAAATCTACTAAAAAAAAATAGAAAAAATGTTCTCACGACTTGGCAAAATACATAAAACACCGGCATCTTCTGAGTGGTTACATGAATGTGTTTCTGAGTATGGACAGTCATCCAAACCGGTTTCTCTACCAATACACTGTACATTATCTAAATGAATAGGCCCAGATCCATTTCCAAACACTGTTCTGGGAACAGCTAGACCCTGTCTAACATAGTATAAATAGAAGAAGGATATTTTAAGTACTCAGATTTTCGATGATGATGCTTCAGTATTATGATGTTTAAATTAACATTAATGTGACTAGAAGAATGTATAAAAATATAGGAACTGCCCTACTAGGATTGATTAATTGATTGATTGTATGCTTTTTATGTCCCATTCAAGAATTTTCACTCATGGCGAGACTTCACCAAAAATAGATGAAGGGCTTCAAATTTTTATCTTTACTTGGCACTTAGGGCCATTGAGCAGTAAGGGGTCTATACCATGCCAAAGCCTTCAGTAACAAGGGGCCTCGGTTTTTAAGATCTCATTAGAAGGACCCAAAACTTTCACTTCAGTGTGCCAAGCGCATGACAAAGGAAGAGTTGCAACCCAATTTTGTCGACTTAGGTCACATTCAAGGTGAAAAAGTCTTGAATATATTGGAATTTAATACCTTATATTTCATCTCCACTACCTTATCAATACATCTTATACTTACTCGCTATATCCTAAAGTTCTACAGACCACACTAGCGTCAATGTTACTCCATCCGTTGTCACAAATCGTTCCCCATGTATTGTTCATATAAACTTCCACTCTTCCTTGGAACTCTTTTTGCTTCGAAAGTCGAATAAGGGGCGCTACAAATTTGAAAGAGGCAAATAATAGGGGAGAGATTAAAAACTGAGACTATAGTGTTACATGTACTGGTATTCTGAAAGAAAACTCCCATTTCAAAACATTTTTGGCAAGGTACTGGAGTCTTTTGGCTGGTATTGATTATAATATTAATCTTTTGTTATGTTTTGAATGTAAACATTGATCAGTAGTCAAAAAATTTATTTTACCACTTAATACAACTAATTATGTTCTTTTATTCAACAAAAAGCTTCTTTTCACACATATCGAGATTTGGTAATAAATTTCAAGCAAATAAGTAAAAGATTTACTTTTAATTAGAATTGTATTGAGGATATTTGCTTTTTAGCCGAACAATATCTCTTAAAATTGTTAATCGCATTAAAAAGTTCAAAATTAAACTCGAACATGAAATTTTTTTGTAAGGCAATTTCTTTCTCGTGCAAGTAAATGTGAATTAGGGTTTTGTAAAGTCTTAAAAGTAGTTTTGTAAGAATAAAAGTTATATTTATGCCAGATATTAGGACAAAAACTTAATCAAATATACAAGGGCTGTCCCAAAAGTCGTAAACAGGGGTAACAGTTAAGTTTCCCTTTGCTCAATCAAATTTCTTTTCTTGTCATAGTAAAAAACGAAATTTCATGATCATGCTTTTTAAGTTTAATGATGATATCACATTTGATAAGAAAATTATGAATAAAATAAAGCATGCAAGTGTACATTGTACATCGGCACACGATATGATCTCTTTTTCTGAGCACCTCACAGACATCTGTTAACATCCAGTATTTTTTTAAAGTGAAAACTACTCTTGACTATGGAACTAATTTAAATTCACTACTGTCTTGTTTCAAGTAGATTCAAATTTCAGTCGAAATTCAGTCTAAAGACCACGTTGTACTCAGCAGAGAATAAAACATTGTTTGATGTCCTTCTTGGCCCAGAGCTCCCAAATTTCTGCTCTTATCAAACAGCACTCTACTTCTAATGTGCAGTAACTACTTTCGGAAAAGAGGAAAAAACTATCATTGAATCGCATGTCACTTAAAACAACGTCTCTAGTAGAATCTAGTGTGTAATGTCACTTCTGTACTCTTGTTTTTCCGTCTCTGATGTACATGTATATAAACCATATCCATAACAATTAATTACTTCTCCGTGCGCCGGACAACGCTCGTATATCATTTAAAGAATTGTTTTAAAAATTATGATTTTCAGCATAATTTGAATTTGAGTGTGATCTGTGATGTACTGTAACAATTATAAACTTTCAACACTATAATATCTTAAGTAAATCACAGGACTAAAATAATGTATAACCAGAATAAAATCCTACAAGTGTCTAGATACCAAATACTGTAAACCAACTTTTATTCGTGACAATTTTCTTTTGCGATTTATCGGGGTAAACTAGTTCGCGACGATTAATTTTCGCTATTAAGCCTTTTTTCGATTTGTAGGCAATAGAAACAGAAACTTAAAAGACCGGTTTGCGAGAAATATTCGCGATGAAGACGCTCTCGTGAACTTCGCGAAAATTTCTCGCACGCTGATAAAAGTTGGTTTACAGTATTTTGCATCCTAAAATATACATGTCGATAAATTGCATGCATTCCCAATACTCCTATTTGCATTTCATAAAGATATGCATGTATTTAAGAGTTAATAATTTTTCCTACAAAGATGGTCAGCAATTAAAGAATGATCTCTAAAGAAATAACATACTACTTTGTGAATTCGGAATCACTTTTGTTGCCAGTAAAAAACTGTTTTGATTCCGAAATAGATGTAAAAGCTTTTAATACAATACCTTTCATACAAATAACACCTGCATCTTTGCTATGATCACAGCTATGATGTAAATTATCTATATGGTCGCACTGAAGAAGAGAGCTTTCTGTACCATTACATCTGACATCATCCATGAGCACCAAACCAGTCCCTTGTCCAAAGTATGCATGACTATACGGAATTCTGTAAAATAGTCATATCAAAAATCAATTCAGTGCATAAATAATTGACCATCAATTGGTATGAAAAACGTCAGTCAGCATTTGACTTAGTGATAGGTTGTAATGACCATAGAACTTATAAATGACTATTTGGAAAAGTGTAAATTTAATAAAATAACCTGATGAGGATTGCTTAACAAGAAACGCTTCTTTGGGAAAGTTATTTGCATACATAAAAAAAACCATTGTAATTATAATACATAATGCAATCTAGAGACAGACCTACACTGAAATACTTCATATGATAATGTCTACAAAGAAACATATGGAGATTACGTATTCAAGCACAAAAATCCATTAATTAGTTCAAAGTAGCAGAGCAAACTTAAACTTCTAAAGCATCAGAGGTGGGATCAGGTGCAATTGGGGAAATTGGAGAATCTTATCAGTCTCAAGTAAAAAAAAAAAACTTCGTAACAAGCATTAATAGTTACATGTGAGCTCTCAAAAGATCACAAACACTTACCCATCTAACCCAAAGAGTTGTTTGCAGACTACTTTGGCATCATTAAAATCCCAGCCATTATCACATACCGTTCCCCAAACACCATCCTTGTAGACCTCCACTCTTCCTTCTCTCGAGGAATTTCCATTTACAAGTCGAAGATCTTGAAATAAGACAAAGGTGTGCAACAATAACACAGTGTTCCTATTATTCAAACATTATATAGTTGAACATTTGATATATCCACCTCTTCTTCTTGAATTTGAAATGTATTTTCTTAAATTTTGAACCAAGAAACTTGGACGGAAATATATCAATTCTCGTAGTGTGAAATATGTAAAGTTTGCCGCAGATTTTATGTCTGCTTCACGTAAGTGCGCTCCAGATTCAAGGAATTTTTGTATCAAATCAGATTCAAGTATTTTATAGAAATTAAATGATATATCTATCATTTACCACAAGTTAAACTTATTGATGAGCTATAAGCGCACATGGGGCAGTTGCTTACTTTAACATTGACAGTTTGCTGTTGGTATAGCAATGATACAACAATATCTACTGTACATTAGACAAACATTGTAGCCTTTTGAACTTTCTAAAAGGATATTTTTGCATGCATATTCCAAATCTCTGCAACGTCTTTTGTATTATCTGTTTTGTTATTTCGCTTTTTTGACGATAATGATTTCTGGATCTGTTGTGACACAAAGGAACTAACGTTGCTTACAAACGTTTCCACAGGTCAGATAATGTGGACCCGGCTGTTGATATTGAATAAGAAAGTGATAAGCATATTCAATGATATATTTTGTTCTTGTACACTGCTGGATACAATTATTGTTTACAGTAATTATATATTAATGACGTGTCATAAATACATAATGACGGTGAAGAATATAATTGTATCCAGCAGTGAAGTATCTATAAAAGAGAAAGACTTGGGATACAATACGATTTCACAGATATATCATAAAATTGCAGTTTCGGGTATTTATATTAAATTAACAGATATCTCTTCAACAAAAAGTATACACTATTCCTTCACTATGAAAGAATTTTAAAACCGTGAGTGCTTACTCATTTTTCCTAGCCCTGCCTCGCTTTTTTCTTGCAAATTCCGAATAAAATTCTGCTGTTCTTGAATTTGACGTTTCAGGATTGAAATTTCGATTTTATTCGCCCTCACAGAAGCTTTCTGCAAGAAGAAATAATAATTGTTCATCCTGAATTTTTAGTTGCATTCGTTTTTAAATTCCAACATAATATTATGCATTATTAAAACTCAAATTCCTCTGATATATAAAAAAGACGTCACATTTTTCCTGTCTGTGGGGCTGGTTAGAAGCACTGGTTCCTCCAAACTGATTATAGGAGATAGACCGTCATGTTTTAACCCATTTACAAAACTCCGATTTTCAATGGGCATTACAGAGAGTAACAGCACCAAAAGATGGTACACAACCATGTTTCTGAAAAAGATAAAAAGTCAGGACATGTTAAATATTTACATCCACTGAATATTTTTTCTTTTATTTCTTAAGAAAACCCATTGCGTTAATCATTTCATGAACTACACTAGGCATGTCATCTGTACTGATTTCTTGATCAGTGGCTTTTCCATCAATAAAAAGTATAAAGACGTCCGCAACATTAATACTGACAATAATTAATCTTTTTAATCCTACTTTAAATGACTACTTAAACAGATATAAATATAAACAGCTATTGCAGAAAAAAATACATGTTTGCATATGTATTTTTTCTGCAACAGCTGCTTCATTCATTCCCGTAGTAACAACCCTAGAAAGCATTTTATTATTATAGTAAAATGATAAAAATGCACAATACAATAAAGGAGTAATAAATATTACAAGTCAAAAATACGTAGCTTGTTTGTACGCATATAACGAATTACAGAAAAAGCGAAGTAATTTCCAAGGTCCCAGAGACTTTGTTATAACCTGTACATTATGTTTTCCTTGTACAGTCTTAACACACTAGCAACAGATAAAAGTTTTCTAACATGTACTACGATGTTTATTCTTTAGTTATCAAAAACTATTATTATTTACAATTATTTATAATTAAAACCTATTTTTGTTGCTGCTTATTGGTTTTAAAGAAAATAATCGCTATTAAAATGACCCCAGCAATTCGAACATAAATAATTTAGAAAATGCTGGTAGACATCAGAAGCATTGAGGAATACCTAAATACGGCCTATAATTAAAACAAGCAAATTCAAAGAATTGTAATCAGCCGCTTTCGGTGTATTTTTGGGTAAGATGTCATTTTTTATGACATTTTATGTCTAATATGAACGCCCTATCATAAGTCATCTATTTAGAAATTATCACTGAACTCCAAAGTCAAGGTCAAAGGGTTAACGTTCTTGGTATCCGATGAAAAATCTTCTCAAAAGGATTACATATGTGAAGTATGAAAGCCCTAGCCCTTACCATTCAAAAGTTATGGTCAAGGTTAAAGTTTTCTCATAAGTACAAAATATCTCCAAGGTCAAGATCAAAAGGTCAAGATTATTGGTATCAAATGAAAGGTCTCGCCACAAAAAATACATAAGTGAAATATGAAAGTCCTAGTGTCTACTGTTCAAAAGTTGTGGCCAAGGTAAAAATTTTTGAAAAGTAGGTCAAACTTCAAGGTCAAGGTCCAAGGGGTCAAAGTTCTTGGTATTCCTTGAAAGGTCTTCTAACAGGAATTATATATATGAAGTATGATAGCCCTAACCCTTACCATTCAAAAGATATGGTCAAGATTAAAGTTTTTTTCATAAGTACGGAAATCTTCAAGGTCAAAAGGTCAAAGTTGTTGGTATTCAATAAAAGGCCTTGCTACAAAGAATACATATGTAAAACATGAAAGTCCTAGTACATACCATTCAAAAGTTAGGGCCAAAATAAAAGTTTGGAATTTTTGTGTAAAAGTGGGTCAAACTCCAAGGTCAAGGTCAAAAGGTCAAATTTGGTGGTACCCAAAGAAAGGTCTTGTCACAAGGATTACACATATAAGGTATGAAAGTCATACCTCCACTAAATCAAAAGTTATGGGCAAGGTTAAAGTTTTTGTGACGGACGGACACACTGACAGACAGACGGAGAGACGGACAGACGAATGAGATTTATTGTACCCTCGCTTTCGCGAAAGCGGGGGACAAAAAAGAACCCTCATTTCATAAAGAAGCAAAGAATAAGTATAAACTCTCTCTCTCTATATATATATATATATATTGTACTCAAATTTCTCATCTTAATCGATGAAGCAAGTATTTAAATATTTTATTCGTAAATCAAATAAATATTATGTAAAATGATGTAACTTTGGAGAAAAATATTAAACAAATAACATTTGATGATATTTTAGAATTGTCACCGTTTTCAACTCACGATTTAATTGGTGCCTAATTTATTTAAAAAAAAACACACAAAAAAAAGTTTGCACTTTTTTCAGAAACAGTTAAGTAGAATATCTGTGTCAACTCATCTTTAATTGCCATAAACCGAGAAACCAAGGGTTCTTATACTGACATCAGGAAGATGTCCTAATTTTTATGAAGATTTCCTTATATTGGAAAAAAAAACCCTTATTTCTATCAAGAGTTTACTTTTCATTAAGATCTTTCCTTCATATTTCTACTTTTTGATATTATGTATTAAAAATCATTATCTTGACTATTTTTGATTGTCTTATTTCATGTACATGTGGTTTCTTTCAACTTACATGTAACTATTTACAAGTAGAAGATAACACTCGTATTTGTATCAGGCATATTTTTCTGTAAAAAAAGATTTTCTTTGAATGTTTGCTATTCGAAAACAACAGGCGCGGATCCAGAAATTCTTTGCAGGGGGGGGGGGGTCCACCCCCGTCCAAAAAAAAAATTCCAACCCAGAAATTTCCTTACAAGTAAAAAAGAAAAAAAAACCAAACGTCAAAAAACCTATTTCGTGGGGGAAGGGGGGAGGTTGGCGATGACTTCAATTGCCTCAAATCTGTCACTTTTCATACCCATTTCACACAAATTCGCGTTTACCAGGGGGTCTGCCTATTTTTAAGGGGGGTCCAAGGTAATGTTTTACTTGCTTTAGTACATACATTTAATGACCTTGCTAATTACAGGGGGGGGGGTCCTGACCACTTCCCCCCCCCCCCCTCTAGATCCGCGCATGAACAATACATTGAAAATTCTGATTCTTTAGATATCGATTTGTAAAAGGTAGAAAAAAAACTGTGCTTATTTTTATTATTACAATCCTTAAAATTAATCCCCCAAAGGTAGAAAAACACTACTCTTATCTCTTTTGATATCACACATACGTAGAAGGACTTAGTATTCTATAGCTATCGTTCATATATTGTAACCATTGATCACCTAGAAAAGTACTCCTTAGTATGCAGATTTTGAAGCAAGGAAAAATCCTAGTACATGAATAAAAAAGTCACATGAAGGAACCAATTGAATGTAAACATCCTTTTAAATCAATGATCAAAATAAATTTTGGTAACCTCACCATCGTTTTATTTAGAGGATAAATAAATATTTTAAACTAATAAAATTGATAAGGAATACTGACCATGAGGGAAAGCTTCTTTCTCCTGCTCTTCTAAAAAATATGACTTGTGTGCAAAAATGAGATGCTTCAATTTGATTAGATTTCACGTAGCTTCCTGCCTGCACGGCCTCTCTCACGTGACACGTTGCTATTGTTGCATTGCTTTAACTCTCTTGATAAACCACTCAGAATTTGACATTTATATATTGTTTCATCAACAAAAATATTGAATTTTGTATCTATTTTATAGGAGGGTCCTATAATAAAAAAGATGTATTCGTTGAACATTGAAACCATAGTTTGGCAGCTTATGGCAGTGTTGAAGTTTCAAAATTGCAAGTAAAACTCCAAAGGTAAAACATTTTGGTATCCAAACGAAATTCTTTCCACAAGGATATGAAAGCCCTATCCCAAACTGTTCAAAAGTTATGAAGTATGACCAAGGTTGAAATTTGGATTTTTTTTTTTGTAAAAGTGGGTCAAACTCGAATGTCAAGAGGGAAAATGTGGTGTACCTAAGGAAAGGTCTTTTAAAAAAATAATAAACCACCTGAGAAGGATAAAAGCAGTAACCCCACCTAGTGAAATCGTCGATTGCTTCCCATAAATATATGCTTTTAAAAGAATAAGATATTTTTTCAGAACAGAAAATATTTCTTCAAAATATATTTATTGGTCCGAAAAAAAATGCCAATAAAGACACACTCATGGATATGTTATATTTGTCACCAAGGTTAAAATAAAATTACAACCACATAAAAATCAAAATATTTTGATATTCATGAAAACCAGTATGGACAATGCAACGTTCAGATTAATATAGATCTTTATTATGCTCTCTCTGTATTGTGTATTATTGTTATTTAAATAAAAACACAAATAAATATTAGATCAGTCGAAAAAATTTATCATTTTATATGAGCTATTGCAAATAAAAATTTACATTTTAAGCATTAAAAGAGTCACTTCTCACATGCCATACACGTCATTTTGCATACTGTTTACGAACAGTGTGATCACCTTTTGCATTTATGATGATTTCTAGAATTAAATATAGACATATTTTAATCTTCAAACTTATTTACTCAAAAAACATTTTACTCTTTCAGTATTGAAATCAAAGTAACATGATTTGAAATGACCGAATCATTGGATCTAGTCCCATAATATATACGGTAAAATATGAAAAGAGCTCCTTTTTTCCTTCAAATTAATATTTCAGAAATAGAGCAGACGAGGATCATAAGTGGTAGGATCAGGTGCCATGGAGGAGTGAATATCGTCTGCCGACCTGTCGCGGATAGCCTACTTGTTATGAACGAAAATGACGAAATAATTCGTAAATAATTTCGTATGAAAATGGCCTTTCAATTAGTATGAAAAACTTCCATGAGTATTTTACTTAATGATAGATTGTACTTGCTGACATATCATTGTATCGACCATAAACAAAAATAAACTTTCAAAATGATACGACGCTGTTGATATTATTGTTTAAACAACTTGATTATTTAGAATTTTCCTCGTTTTAGAAATTATTCATACATAGGCATTTACTTGCGTATCAAACTAAAGACATTAAAAATCCATTTGCACATAATGAAGGTAAATTGTGAACAGAATATTACAAAGGGAAGTAGACAATTTAAAGAATAAAGTCATAACTTTTATCATGAAGTTCTGATTTTAGATTACCATTAAGTTATGTTTCGAGTTAATAATCAAAACATGAAGCAGATGTGACAGACTCTGTTATATCTTTTATTTCAAGCTCAATGGGGTATATATCGTGGATAGAAGTAGCAATTCCTTAAAAGTAATGTTTGAAAAGGATTTATTTAACACAAAAAGTAGAAACGCCAATTTAACAAAGTATATATGAGCAAAATAGGAAGCTTTATTTGAGGTGAGATTGTAGCTATTTTTAAATATGCTTCACTTTGAGGAAAATGTATGCAATTGATAGTCTTTTATTGTATTTAACGTCCATTTCAGGTATAAATGACAAAATTACGGTGTCTTCGCTCTAAGCAAGGCGTTTTTTTTTTTTGGATTTTCATTACTTTAATAAGGGTTATATGTCAATTGATTTAAATAATGGCTCAAGTTCATTGCCACAAGAAGCAAGTACGCATTTAGCCCCACAAATCGTAGGTTTATGAATGAGGTTGTTAAAAGTTTCAGAAATGTCGAAGGTTATTTCAGTAATTGACATTTTATTTTCAAGTTTACTTTCATAACCTGCATTATACCATGATTGATTTTTATTAGATTTAATGAATGATATTGAGTGCCTTGGCTATGAGAGACAATTCCTGGTTTCCAGAAAGGCTATGCAAATCACATGCATTGTACTTGCTGTCATTGTTCTCTACCTGTGATGAGAGTTGCTTGGAGTGGTGTCTTTTTTATTTGTAATTAATGCCACCTAACCTCAGTTATCTTCCTTGCGATGAGGAGCTCCATCAATACAACCAAGTGCCTCTTTTTGGGTGTAAAGCTATGGTTGATATTACGAATATAATTTGGTTTTTATAAACTAAAAACTATTTGAAGCTTCTATCTTTGAAATAAATAGAAATTCATATGTTTCGTGCATTCATGTATTATGCACTGCATTGTCTAGATCTAGAATTTTAGAAATCTTACGCTGTTAAGCTGATAGTTAAAAAATATTCAAGAGATCAGTATCAGTATTAGATGCTTAAGCTGCAAATATAGTTTTATCTGTGTTTCCTAAATGGATATTGAAAAGAAATCCAAGGGAAGAATAAGTAAAGCGTTACCTTCCCTTTTAAGAATTCCACCATGAGAAAGGAGACCAATTTTTGTAAAACAAAAATAATAACAGCAGCCTATAGCAACCTTTGATTTGCTAATACCAGGTCTGATAGGGTGCTATCTGTTTATAAAATCGTCTTGTATTGATAGAACTTTGCAAAACCATTGCTGACGGGAAAAGATAAATGGTGTCATTTCTATTCAGGTAATTATTGGAGAGTAAAGTGATTATTAATTCGAAAAACATCGCATTCGGGTACAAGCGTTAAATCACCACAGATGCCTTTCACGTTGGTCGTTCTGGTATTGTTTCTGGGCCTTGTGTATGGGGAACGATCTTGTCTTTTATCGGGAAAGCATTCCTTAAATGTAAGGACTCGGCCAGAATGTGCCATTTTGTGTGGGATGCAGTCAGAATGCTTATCTTTTTCCGTCTGTGAAAACAACGAACAAAACTATTGTGTGACGTATGAAAAGAGATTGGATAACGCATGCGTGAACATTTCTCTGATGGTTTATTGTGAAAATTTTGTAAAGGTAATATTCATTATATGTGTTCATTGATATTTTATTGATGACTTCTTTTGAGTTTGATGAAACATTCATGATTAGTCTCCATTGTATGCATTGAATATTACCACTTATTTATTTTTCAATAAGATTTTTAAAAATGTTACTACTACCGTATTTTTAAGTTCGTACCTCATATCACAGAATCATCAAAATGATTTGTCCAAAGAAATACAGTAAACGATTGCTTTGCCTACCAACAATATTATTCAAGACAGAATATTTCCGTTAAATTTTTGCTGAATTTTATGTAACGTGATCAGAAGCAAACGACCTTAAATTTAAAAGAACATATGTATTTGATCACTAAAACATTCACTTTTTACGCCAACATTAGGACAATCGTTTATCAATAATACATGTATATGAATGGGATCATAAAACACCCCATAGTTTGTTTGTTGAGCATGTGTAAGATTCAATACATAGTCATATCAAACGTGTATCAACGTTGTATACATGTATTATGAGTAGATTTGACTAAATAAAATGACTACAGAAAACAGATCTAGATCAGAAAATGTACATGCAAAAAGCTCTTAATATATTTCGTCGTCTTTTTTACTATAAAATTTTTTTTGCTTCCTTTCTTATGAATGGACAGAAACTTACGTTGGTAAGGAATCGGACGTGACTTTCCAAAATTATAAAGACAATGCAATGTAAATCATTCTTGTCTATAAAATTTACATTAGCTGTGTTTCTAGTAAGGCAACTGTGAAATTGATTTGAGTTTCATTTTTATGTAAACTCACGCGTAGAATTATACACAGAGTAACTCACGCCAAAGTGACGTCACAATGAGGCTACCGAGTCTCTAGTAAAATTATAACGATCATAAAACAGAGAGAAATTCAAACATTGAGTATATTATTGATGCATTTAGACATTGTCAAGTAAAATGCAAATATAATGATTTTTAAATTAAAAGTTAATTGTGAGTTAAATCAGGGTCCACGCAGAAAATATATAAGCGAGGTTTAACTGGATGTCATGGGCAACTTTCAGGCTACGCATGCGCAAATATGCTAGAGAGTTCGCCCCTAAAACAACTTGCCCGTAGAATAATTCGCCCTACTTGAATTAGAAGATGCCATTCATTGGCAAATCTCGCTTTTAAATCTGCATATCGTATTTATGTATTCCGGATCCGAACTTCTTTCATACATATACTTTTACACACAAACTAAACATTGATTCTATGGCACAAGCATTTTAAAAAATAGAAAGAACTTGAGGTCTTCACCGGCATTAGTTTTGTGGAACAAGGCTTACAAAATAATTTGATGCACAGCAATATACAGCAATCCAAACAAAGATTGATAGAAGCCTGTAGAAACGTATTCCATGGGGGGAGGGGACTCCGAAAAAAATCAGCGTACTACAGGGCTTTGCTGCACGTATACCATCAGAAATTTTTTTTCCAATGATAGATTCCTTCCGTATAAAATCAGAACAGATGTCAAGTCCAAGTCGTTGTGGGATACATGTATCAAAATAGCCCGATTTTTTTTTTAAATGACAAAACTAAAGGCTAATCGGAGATAAAATTTAACAATTTTGCTATGAAAGTACTAACAATCAAAGAAGGCATTTCACTGTAGTAAATGTGAACAAACCTATATGAATAGTCACTACATCTAGAAATTTTCTTATATGAATGAATATCGGTTAGAAACACATGAATATGGTCTAAGTATTGCAGTACTTTTTAAAACACAGCAATTTGTTGGTGTATAAACCACAGAAGACCTGCACGTAGGCATATTTTACAGGAAGCGACAGCGCGCTTTCATAGAATATGCCTACGTGACAGGTTTGTGTAATTAACACACCAATAACTCATACAAAACTTCAAAACATTCCTTAGATAATTTTGTGTTACTTCAATAAGGAAGCATATGGAATGTCCTATCATTGAATTTCTCACTATACTATTTGTTTTTAATGTAACAGATGGAGAGATCAGTAGATCGCATATCGCTATTATCTTCAACTTCTTCAACGTCATCGACAACAACGTCATCGATATCGTCATCACCAGCTGCCAATGAGGCGACTACTACATCGTCTTGTGGAATGCCATCAGAACTTTGCCAAGGAGATTAATCCAGTTTAAGAAAGACTTTGTGAATCAATATATTTTTTTTATAAGTGGCTTTATGGTTTTTTCTTTACAAAAAAAGCTGTAAAATATATGATTGAAACTTAAATTTAAAACTATCTTATAAAAAAGGAACATAGAACTAGAGTATCTGAATACATTTATGAGAAGTGAGTTGTAGACATTGTGTTACAGTGTAGCAAATTTAAACTTAATGTTAGATAAGCATATGTTTATGTAACTGAATACATTTATGAGTAGTGAGCTGTAGACAGTGTACAGTGTAGCCAATTTAAACCATGTTAGATATGTTTATGTAAAAAAAAGTGAAGAAGCAATGCATAAAATATTTTTATTAATAGAGAAATACAGTAACAATGTACTCTTATCTTAATAAAAGCCAGTTTTGATTGAAATCTGAATGGATGTTTCAAGAACATGGAATCTGTCAGGTATACGTACATGGAGACAAGAGCCTTTAGATAGCAAAGAAATCGATATCCCCAATCCAAAAGACATTACCCTTTAGATAGCAAAGAAACTTTCTCTAATCACCCATTCTCAATATAAGGGCTCAAATAATGTCGCCTCATTTTCATTTAAAAGAAATACCACTGATGTAATTTCTAAATCAACATTATAAATAGTCATATAACAATGAATAAGAATTCATATAATTATCGATCTGAAAGGGTATTTAAGGAGTTCCAAATTCAAATATAGTAGCCTATTTGAAATGTACGTTACTGTCGCCGAGGCAAATTTTATTCTGAATCCCCTCTGTGTAATATATAGTTTTGATTCTTAAGTAAAAATTTTCTGATAAGTTAAACCTTGTATCATATATATTTCTTTTCATAACAATAAATACATTTTCTTTGTGATAATAAATAATTTTTATTGTGCAATGTCCCTGTCGCTTAATTCTATTTCAACCACATTACAAACAAACACAAAGATTGTCCACCTGATAGTTTTGTTCTCCTTTATTTATTGATGGGCTAAATTTGAAATTTCAATAGATTAATTACTCCTACTTAGATAATGTAACATGAAATTAAACAATTTGAGCAACTTTTATAAATATGTTTACGGAATGAAAGACATTTTCAATCGTAGAGATAAGAAAGAAATGTACGTTACCTATATTCTTCCATTAAGAATATATATTAAGTAGAAAATATGAGACAACTCTGAATAAGCAACCCCTTGTGTCCTGTAAACTGGCAAAGACGTTTTGCTTAACACAATTAAAAACTATTTTTTACATGAAAAGTGATCATTTGAAATGTACGTGACTGAAATGTACGTTACCATGAAATTCGAATTAAGTGAATCTCGCACGAATTTTCATGTATTCTCATACTTTTACACACTCGAATGTGTACACAAAGGAAAGTTTCAAAGGTTGGAGGTCGGCTAAATCCCAAAATTAATGAAAAGAAACGTTTCTGCTGAGGAAAAAAAATATATTAAGGTCAATTATATGTAATATAATTTTGATACCTGGTATATATTTCTGAATACGAAACCTGTATGATGCATTTCTTATGATATGCAAGTTCAAATAGTATCAATATATTGCGTGTCTAACGTACGCTTGTGGAAGAGAATTGATTTTTATATTTGAAATGTACGTTACGTATGGTAACGTGCATTTAACGTATTTCTAACTGACATTTTTTAAAATTTAGTCAATGAATTGCGTTTACACGAGCGAAACAAAATTTTTGTTACAATCCATTTGACAACTGGCCACATAAATCCGTCTAAATGCACCCCTAATCCTCGTAAATGTGGTAGACTGTTACCACATGCTAGAAAATTTATTTCTAAGTGTCTTAAATTCATCTTTGGCAACTTTTTTGCAGTTTGTTTACTTTTGATATGCGACTTTTCGTCAATATTAATTTAACTGTTGTTGATAATTTAAAACAAGGTATGCATAGGCTTATAATTGGTAAAAAAAGAAACAAAAAATAGAAAAAAGAAACAAATAGGCCTAAACCCAGAACACAAGACGGTCACGTACATTTCAAATACTGAAAGGAACACAATACTCAGTTTTGTTTGAATCATTGCATTTTGGGTTATATTTTTCCAGATCTGCTGAAAAGCACGTATGTTTGTGTTTTGAAAAACGATATTGCAACATACTAAATGAAATTGTTAACAAACTGTCGATGGATATATTCGGAATAGATTTATGTTAAGTTTCAATGGTCAAACACGAGCATTTGTTAGATCATAGCAAAATACGTCTGACTCTTATATTTTTTTGTCTGTACCTTGCACATAGGTAGAAGTAACTAGGCTACGACCGTTGTCAATTTCAGCGAAACAGCACAAAAGAATGGTAATGAACTGAGGTGGAGGGGACTCTCCAATAATATGTGAAATGAACGTTACCGAAGTGACGTGACATTCATGTAGTTGATGACAAATAACCTCGTTTGTTACATTATGATTTCTTATATTACTGCCTTAAAACGCTTCATTGAAATGATTTTTATGTCAATAATTGCTTTTTTTCAAAATTTTCTTATTACTAATTTACATATTATTACAAGCTTGAAATGTACGTTACCTACTCATATTCTGAGGCAATCGTGTCTTTATAGTGGTGATTGCGACATATAACACAATGTGATTACATAGAGAATCTTTTTTTAATAAACTGAAACAAAACGATGGATTTTTAGATGAATTTTAATCTTTTTATTAAACAGAAATATATCTTGAAATGTACGTTACATTTACGTAGTTTTCTAAATCGGCATGGATATAAGTTAAAAAAGACAGTAACTACAAAATAGAATTTTACTACATGTACATGGTAGGTTCCAGTATCTATAGAAAATGACAAGATTCAAAACTGATCGCTCTAAACAAAACAGAGAGAAGAATTTAAAGCATATATATAAAAAATGTTTTTATACATCTGGATCAAAAAGTAACCTTTGTTTTTTTGAAAGGAAAAATCAAACGCACGTTCGTATGCCGAGAAAATATGTTGCGGACAGAGCTGGTAGGGTGTGCTGGTGTTAAGATGAGACATTCCAATTGTGATTTTAATGACTACTTTTTTTTTACATATCTTTTTGGACATTGAAGAAAGAGTAACGTACATTTCAAGCTACATTTCTGAATAAAATCACCCTCTGCTTTATCGTCTTGTCATTATTCCATGTATTATGATTTGATGAAAAAAAATCTGGAAACAAAATCTTCAGATACTTTCTTTCAAAGGTAATTGATAGAAAAATTGTTTTCTTGAACTTCATTTTTTAAAAAATCAGAGAGGCATTTGTGCCCTTATATTGAGAATGGGTGTAATGAGATCCCTAGAAGAGTATTCAAAGAATTGGTCTAAATATACTGTGGAAGTCCTGGGAACTCTGTCTTAATAGATAACATAAAAAAATGTTTATCAATTTTTTCAAAGGCAGCATTCTACGCCCTTGATAGTCAAATTGCTAGTTAATGAAGCAACACTTCTCAAAGAGGTGTACACGAGAGAAAGAAAACTTTTGTTGTGATTGGAATTTTCACTAGTATCCGCTTTTATATCGACTTTTTATTGTAATAAATAATTATAAAAAATAGATACATGTACCTCGAAACACACAGATGGTGTGGAACCTGTCAAATTGATTCTTGATAAAGACGTAATCAGTAGATCACACACAAAAAGAAATCAAAAACCAAAGGAAGACAGTTTCTGGAGGAATTCTTAAAAATTCATTGGGAAAACGTCATCTTTTTCTAATACTTCGTTACGAGATACATATACACTTCATGTAAATATAATGTATATTAAAAAATAATGATTAAGGTAACTGCAAAAGTGATCAACTCATAATGATGGAATAACAAATGTACATATGTAATTCTTTTATATCTTTAATTGAGAATGATATATGTTCAATGGATAAAATACAACCTTTGAATTAAGAAAAAACAAAACAAAAACAAAACTGTATGTGCCTAAGTGTCCTTTATACGAGAATATTGAACTAGTAAAAACGTATTAATATGTAGATGTAAAAAAAATAACACAAATGATAATGTAAATCAATTCAAAAAGCGCATTTATGTAACAAAAAACACAACAAAGTCTTAACTTATTAATATTATTTGCAAGAATCTGATATTACGAAATCAGTTCTTCAGGATGACGTTTACTCAGGTTTCAGAAAACAGAAAAGAAATTTCATAAAGTATAATATGTTAAATAAAAAATGTTCTTAATGGATAAAAAAACTAAGTTTTAACTCAATATCACTTTAAAAATTTTATATTTTATATTTTGAAGAAAATATACAGGAACAAAAGTCAATGTATGGCAATGCAGAGGAAATTCTAACTAAATTTTTAATTTTTCATTTTTGTCGAAATCTTTTATTTCTTGCAAAATTAATCACAATTTAAAGGTTACATGTACTTTTAGACATCATTTTGCAAATATTATATGTATTAAAGCTCATAACTTATTTCAAATAATTGAATGATACGAAATAAAAAAAAATCAAAAATATAAACAAAAAAAAACATTCCAGACAACATATCTCAATAATTTAATCATTGAACCAATATAATATCAATACCACGAGAATGAGGGCAACAAAGGTAGTCTGAGGCTTTAAAGAATTTAGAGTTCTTATCATTCAGATTTTTGTAATATTCAATTAAAAATGGGGAAAAAATATATATATGACAGAGGAAATTTGGACTGTAAAAATTATCAAGTTTATGGACCAAACTTTAATCTTTTCTTTATATGAAGCAACGCTGGTCCACTGCTATAATATTTCATTATTGAAAGAGTTTTGTTGCTTGTAATATTTTGTGAGTGAAGAAAAAATTGGCCATAGTGTGAAAAATTGAGGTATTTTCCTAGAAAAAGTCGGGGGTCACTAGCATGAAAAGTTTGTCATTGACATAGTAATTTGAAATTGAAATTTAACACAAGAATAATAAGTGTACTATGTGCAATAGGTGGTTTTTCGTTCTTATCAGTAGAATTTTTAGTCATCTGAGTAAAGGTATACATTTTGTACCTTAAGGGTGATGGATGCAAATCTACAAATAACACGTCATACACTGCATCTGAAAAAATGATAATAATTGTTATAAACTTGACCGCGTTTGACAGTGGTT